CTAGTGTGAATAACAATTCAAGCTTGCAAGCCATGTTGACCATAAACTGATGATAATAGTTTGAGTGGAAATTGTATGCCAGACTTTTTAACTTGAGCCTTCAACCAAAGGATGTCAATTTATAAGCACAACCTAAGACAAATCAAGTGAATTGGAAACTACAATGCCCTTGATTTGATGTTTCTTGTTATTGTCAATTAGAGCTGTAATCTTAACATGTTTTTGTGTTCATTATCGCTTACTAAAGAAAACACCAGTATATACTACTGGATATTTGGATGTTGTTTAAAAGGCTACTTCTCGATATTTAAATGTTTTTTAAAAGGCTCTTTTGGCTGATTATCAGCAAGTCATTAAGAAGATTGGCCAAAAGAAGCTTTGTGAACTCAACCTTAGCTGGCATCAAACCGGCAAATGTTGTTGATTAAAATAAAGCTCAAAAAGTGATATGCAATCAAGTGGCAGTGTAACACCAAATGGTATAACCTCTCCTCCCTCAGAACGCAGGGTTCTAGCTTCGTAATGGGCAAGTTGTGAAATGTGTGTGTGAGAACTTGCTTAATCAAAAAATAAAAATAATAAGATAAAGAAAATAAATCATTGCCTATAGCAAAAATGTATAAAGAAGAGCTAAGCAGGCTACAAGTGGATACAAGTGCGCTGAATGTGTTGAAACGCGATACAAGTGCGCTGAATCTAGAAATAATGATGTTGAAAAGAGATTTCAACACAATTGCAACACATTTGTTACAGATCTCAACACATAGAACATGTATTGAAATCTAGAACAAGTGTGTTGAAAATAGATTTAATTGTGTTGAAAAGTTTTATAGGAAATAGATGCATATGCAGTGAGACTGTATCAGACTAACTGTACAGTTCCAAAGTATATTGTAAAAACTGGTGCAAAGTACATAACTACTGTTACTGGTTGTAGAGACCATATCAATAAATATCAAAACCATGCTTCAGTAGCCGCCAACCAACACAATTAGTTGTCATCTTAAAGCAATCAATGTGACCCTTTTGCTATCAGATACTCTCTCCCCCCATATGAATATCATCACTTCTTATTGCAAGTGCCATTAAACTTGCATCATCATCTATTCGTGAATATGACCTAATCTGGAATATACTTATGTTTGGGAGTACCGAATTGGTGCCTTAGATCTGGGATTTGGAGGAAGTTTAATTCAAATTTTGTACTAAATTTTCTTCAATCCCAAATTCAAGGCGCCGATTCGGTGCCGCCAAACATAGCATTAGGTATGTTGAGTCAGAAATTCAGCTTCCACCTGGCTTCAGCAAAGGCTAATATAGTTTTGTCTGCAACTGAGAGATGATGAAAAATATGTAGCCCCAAGGCTATTATACACTAGGGATCTTATATGAAGCCCAAAATCAATATGTAGGGATGGCAACAAAGTGGGTTTGGAACAGATTTGCCTAAACCCTACCCTGCGCGGTTTATAATTTCTGGCATGTAACAGATTTAATTTCCTCCCAAAAATAACACCCGAAGAAAATTCTTGCAAAAACAGCCATTGATTGATATCCTTCAATTGATAAAGGAAATTATTCACAAAACGAATAATACATAAAAATTTAAAAAACAAAAACAGAATGCTGACATTTTTTGAACTAGTATCCTTCTGGCTCAGGCCTAGGCTACAAAGCCAGATTTTATTTTCTGAATAGTTTCCCACTATCAGTGCTGGTATTGAAGACGGAACTAGGAATCGACGCGGTTCCAGCACTAAAACAAAGAACAGGATGCAGACATATTATTAACCGCTGCGGCCTTTCTACCTCAGGCCTTGGCTCCGAAGCCAGCTTTGATTTTCTGAATAGTGGCAACATCAGTTTTAAAGGACTTAGCCAGTATCCCACTATCAATGCTGGTGTTGAAGACAGAACCAGGAATTGACGCGGTTCCAGCATTTGCACTGCCAAATGCAGATACTGCTATGGCACCATTTTTTGTATCATTGTTGTATTGGTAGTGAATAAGTCCCTTAGGAAACACAAACATGTCACCCTGTTGGAGCGTCTGAGTATAGAGCTTGTTGGTGGTGTCCACAAACCCCACTTCAAGGTTTCCATTGAGGAGAAACAAGAGCTCTGCTGCGCGAGGATGTGTGTGAGGTGGGTTGACAGAGCCAGCAGGGTACTCAAGAACTGCATAAGAAACACTTTGACCGTTGAGAGCCGGGAATTCAGCCATGCTTGCTTTCAAAACCTTGAAAGTCGTCGGAAAATCTCCATTAAGAAGAACTCTCATGCCAGTAAAGGTGAAAAAGTTGCCATCAATGCCGTTGAGGTTAGGCGGGACTATGAAATCAGAAAGAATGTCTGCATCCCCAGCAACTGAAATATAGAGAGTAGCAAATGCAAGTCCTAAGGTGAGTAACAAATCAAGCTTGAATGCCATGACTGAGAAGAGAATAGTCTGATGGAAATTCCTTTGTAAGACTTTTTATTTACTTGAGTCTTCAACAACAATAAGTCAATTTATAAGCACAGCCTCAGTAGTAAGAAAAAAGAGCAGGACTAAAGAGGCACATCAAGGGAGATGGAACCTACAACGCCCTTGTTTTATGTCTCTTGTTATTGTCAATTAGAGCTGTAATCTCAACATGATTTTCGCGTTCACTGTCACTTATATAAGAACACACGCGTATACTAGTATGGATATACCTTGATTTTTTTTGGAGGTTGTTTATAGGTCAATATGATGAGTTGGAGTATTCCCTTGTCTTTCGATTCAGCTTTGTGAACTCAACCTTAGCTGGCATCAAACCTGCAAACATTTTTAATTAGAAACAAAGCTCAAAAACCCAACCCTACCAGGCTACCACATATGTGGTCAAGTGGCAGTATGGCTTAGTTCTTTTAAAACCAAATGTGGTCATCATAACACTGGCAATTATTAGAGGAACTGATCCAGACGTCGTGACAGATTTCATAGGACCAGCAGATTCTACTGTCGTCAATGGGAATCCCTTCACCTGAAATAAACTTCTTGGAACTTTTGACAATGATGTCCACCAAACTTGATGGCAAATGTGTATCCATTGCCATACCTGAGCACTCAGTAGGCGTACAACATTCCCAGCTCTGTCTATAGTTGACAAGAGCCTTTTTAAGGTTCATTGTGACCATGAACAAATTTTGCAACGAACATGTTTGCGTTCCCAAAGGAACTAGTGCATCATCAGTAAAATGCCAATGCTAATTGCAGAGCCTTGGTGGTGCTAATACAGCACTGTGTCCATTCCTACATGGTGTTTGGTAACACTCTTAACGATTGTCTTTTAAAAACTGGCATTGCTACTATTCAGAAGATCAAGACAAGTCTAGCAACCAAGGCCTAAATTGAAGGCCACCCAAGCCCTACCAACAATACCCTTCACTTTCCATCTCATCGCTACTTGTTCGCTACTCGATTTTCCAATTTTTTTTTTATTTATTGTTACTTATGTGCATGCACTAGCGGAAGAGCAAAATAAGCATGACACCCACAAATGCAAGAACAGAATGAACTTGAATCAAGATCAAAATCATAGAAAAACCAGAAACAACTCTCATAAGTACCAAAATATAGCACAGGTATCCATTACAGAGTGAGAAAAGGCATGTGTCAAGTTCTGAACAGGTGCCATAAAACCCTATACAATACCAACTCTCATTGGGAGTTATGTAGAGTCATATACATTTATTTCTCATGAGTACTTCCAAGAGCAAGAGTCCATTAGTCACAGCTAAAGCCCAGATCTTATGAGCCTCTCCTTCATATTTCTGTCAAAAGGACAACGTTGAAAGCAAGGGCGGATCCAAAAATGCATAATGGGGTGGGCTAATCTATTCCGGAGTGGGCTAGTATTACTGAAAAAAAAAAAAAAAAATTGGGTTGGGCTAAAATTACCTCTACTAAATTTTTATTTTTATTTTTTATTTTTTATTATTATTTTTTTTTTTGAGCGGCTAGTGGTTGAAGGTAAGAGAACCTAAAATTAAAGGAGTTTGGACCATCTGTTGTAGTGTGTTGTAGCATTTTTCTACGCATTTAAATCCAATTTCAACACATTTGTTCTAGATTTTAGCATAATTTTAACACATAAAACAAATGTGTTGAAACGCGATATAAGTGTGCTGAATCTAGAAATAATGATGCTGAAAAGAGATTTCAACACAATTGCAACACATTTGTTCTAGATCTCAACATATAGAACATGTATTGAAATCTAGAACAAGTGTGTTGAAAATAGATTTAATTGTGTTGAAAATGGATTTAATAGGAGGGAAATAGATGCATATACTGCAAGAATGTATCAGACTAACGGTACAGTTCCAGAGTACATTGTCAAAACTAGTGCAAAGCACATATTACTGGTTGTAGAGACCATATCAATAAATATCAAAACCATGCTTCAGTCAACCAACACAATTAGTTGTCATCTTCAAGCAATCAGTGTGACCCTTTTGCTATCAGATACTCTCTACCCCATATGAATATCATCACTTCTTATTGCAAGTGCCATGAAACTTGCATCATCATTTATTTGTGAATACGACCTGATTTATAATATATTTATGTTTGGAAATACCGAATTGGTGCCTTGGATTTGGGATTTGGAAAAAGTTTGGTTCAAATTTTGTACTAAAATTTCTTCAATCTCAAATTCAAGGCACCGATTTAGTGCCGCCAAACATAACATTAGGTATGTTGAGTCATAAATTCAGCTTCCACCTGGCTTCAAGCAATGGCTAAAATAGTTTTGTCTGCAACTAAGAGATGATGAAAAATATGTAGACCCAAGGCTTTTATACACTAGGGATCTTATATGAAGCCCAAAATCAATATGTAGGGATGGCAACAAAATGAGTTTGGAACAGGTTTGCCTAAATCCTATCCTGCGCGGTTTATAGTTTCTGGCATGTAACAGATTTAATTTCTTACCAAAAATAACACCTGAAGAAAATTCTTGCAAAAACAGCCATTGATTGATATCCTTCAATTGATAAAGGAAATTATTCGTGAAACAAATAATACATAAAATTATTATAAAAAAAAAAAAAATGCTGACATTTTTTGAACTAGTAATGCCCTTCTGGCTCAGGCCTAGGCTACAAAGCCAGATTTGATTTTCTGAATAGTTTCAACATCAGTTTTGAAAGACTTTGCAAGTATCCCACTATCAATGCTGGTATTGAAGACGGAACTAGGAATCGACGCGGTTCCAGCACTTGCACTGCCAAATGCAGATACTGCAATGGCGGAGTTTTTTTCGTCATAGTTGTATTGGTAGTGAATAAGTCCCTTGGGAAACACAAAGATGTCACCAGCCTGGAGTGTCTGAGTAAAGAGCTTGTTAGTGGTGTCGACAAACCCCACTTGAAGGTTGCCATTGAGGAGAAACAAGAGCTCAGATGCACGAGGATGGGTGTGAGGTGGATTGACAGAGCCAGCAGGGTACTGAAGAACTGCATAAGAAACACTTTGACCATTAAGAGCCGGGAATTCAGCCATGCTTGCTTTCAAAACCTTGAAAGTTGTCGGAAAATCTCCCCCTAGAAGAACTCTCATGCCAGTAAAGGTGAAAAAGTTGCCATCAATGGTGGTGTTCATTGGGACAATGAAATCAGAGAGAATGTCTGCATCCCCAGCATGTGAAATACAGAGAGTACCAAGTACAAGTGCTAGTGTGAATAACAATTCAAGCTTGCAAGCCATGTTGACCATAAACTGATGATAATAGTTTGATGGAAATTGTATGCAAGACTTTTTAACTTGAGTCCTCAACCAAAGGATGTCAATTTATAAGCACAACCCAAGACAAATCAAGTGATTTGGAAACTACAATGCCCTTGATTTGATGTTTCTTGTTATTGTCAATTAGAGCTGTAATCTCAACATGTTTTTGTGTTCATTATCGCTTACTACTAAAGAAAACACCAGTATATACTGCTACTGGATATTTGGATGTTTTTTAAAAGGCTACTTCTCGATATTTAAATGTTTTTTAAAAGGCTCTTTTGGCTGATTATCAGCAGTCATTAAGAAGATTGGCTAAAACAAGCTTTGTGAACTCAACCTTAGCCGGCATCAAACCGGCAAATGTTGTTAATTAGAAATAAAGCTCAAAAAGAACCCTACAAGATATGTGATCAAGTGGCAGTGTAACACCAAATGGTATAACCTCTCCTCCCTCAAAACACAGGGTTCCAGCCCCGTAGTGGGCAAGTAGTGAAATGTGTGAGTGAGTACTTGCTTAATCAAAAAATAAAAATAATAAGATAAAGCAAATAAAGCATTGCCTATAGCAAAAATGTATAAAGAAGAGCTAAGCAGAATTGTAGGATTTTAATAGCAAATAGCAGGATCTTGCCGGTTGCTACAAGTGGAAGGAGGAGATTAAGATTCAATTTTTTAAACCCTAATAAATCTGAAAGCGGCAAATGTGTATCACAAAAGTGAAACAGAAAAATAAGCATGCCACCGACAAATGCAAAAATAGAATGAACTTGAATCACCATCAAATCAAAGGAAAACCACAAACAACTCCTGGAACTGAGTTCCACAATATAGCACAAGGCCATTACCAACTAAAGAGAGAAGGCAAGTACCACCAAGTGCCATAAAACCCTATACAGAAACAACTCTTATTAGGAGTTATGCATAGTCATTTACATTTATTTCTCATGAGTACAAATCAAAGGAAAACCACAAACAACTCCTGGAATTGAGTTCCACAATATAGCACAAGGCCATTACCAACTAAAGAGAGAAGGCAAGTACCACCAAGTGCCATAAAACCCTATACAGAAACAACTCTTATTAGGAGTTATGCATAGTCATTTACATTTATTTCTCATGAGTACTTCCAAAGCAAGAGCTTCGTTCAGTGCAGATGCCCACTTTAGATCTTATGAGCCTCTCCATCTTTCTGTCAAAAGTACAATGTCGAAGGTAAGACAGACTGAAAATAGAGGAGGAAAATAGATGCATGCTGCAAGACAGCATCAGACTGTGTACAGTTCCAGAGTACATTGTCAAAACTGGCAGAAAATAGATACTATGAGTGTAGAAACCTATTGTGTGTGTGTGTGTATAAATACATATATACATAAATATATATATATATATATAGAGAGAGAGAGAGAGAATCTTGTTCAAGTACTCCCAGGCATGTAGAGGGGAGATGTCCATGAATTAGTGTCTAATTACATTTGCTATGAGAACAAAAAAAAAAAAAAAATTGATAGTGCAAGAAGACCAATGCTAAAGAACCCCTACAGAATGTCAAGCTAAAATTCACACATCCAATCTGGCACTTATGGTGGAACAGGAACCAGAGGCTCTATGAAGAGATCTCTGTTAATCCTCTCCAGACTGCTCGTCACACATTTAGAATGTGGCTGATTCCTTGGCAACTAATTTGCAAGACCTGGTGGGACTTTTCGATTCTAGTCAAGGGAGTAGTGTGGTTGTTAGTGTTGGTTAGGGTGGGAGGTTTTATTCCTTCCTGTTTGTTCTGTGTTACCCTTTGTGGGTTTTTTCTTATTTCTTTACCTGCTTGCCAATTTTTGGAAGTGGGTGTTTCTAATTGTCTTGTAATTGTGAGGTCCTCCTCCTTGTTGGTTGCTGGTTTGGCTTGTTAATAAAATCTTGCTCAGTGAAATAAATAAATAATGAAAGGCCGTTACATGTCTTTCTTCTTTACCACCAACACCATATTCACTAGCAGAGAGACCCTTACAGCAGCAGGTTTTTCATTTCTGTTCAAAACTCCAGCAGTTCAGTTGCAAAACCGTGCTTTAGTAACCACCAATCAACATAATTAGTTGTCATCCTAAAGCAATCAGTGAGCCCCTCCCTTTATCCATTCTGAATAATTCTTTTTATTGCAAGTATCATGGATCTTGCGGAATCAGCTATTCATGAACATGTCCAAATTTAGAATATACCTAGGCTGCATATGTGCAAAAACTCGGTTCCACCTGGTTGGAGCAAAGGCTGATATAGATTTTCTGTTTATAACACAAGAGAGAGGAGCAATATGTGCCACAGATCTAACCCCAAGGCTGTTACAAACTTAGAAGTTAGGATCTTATATGAAGACCTAATGTTTCACTAGTCTGACCTTCAGGCAATCAGGCCGCCAATTCCCCTGGCGCCCAAAACCAATATGACTGCTAACACTTTACTTTTCAATCTAATCGTTTGGCCATCCCCAAGGGTATGAACCAAACAAGGTTAACAACATTTGCCTCCCTTTGGAATGTTTTGAAACACGGACGGTTGAGTAGGCTATTTTTATCAGATTTCTCCATTGATACTTGGTTACAAGAGAATATATTTTGCTGATATCAGCAAACAAAATATCCCCAATTTTGTCGGTATCAGTAAACAAAATATCCCCGCTGATGATAATGATATCAACACACAAATCAATTCAGATATAGAACTATAGATGATTGCCAAGATTGAAATAGATTGCCCACATGACACAGATGCCATTTTACTAGATTAACCACCTTTCTGTATATAAAATTCAGCTACTCGGCCAAGTGGTAATCACTGAACTTGATATAAACTATAGAGAGAATAAAAATAAAAATATACAATGAGAATCAGAGAGAGCATGCAAGGGCCCTTGGTTAACCCTGGGCCTGGCAATTTTATTAAGGGTAAATTACTCCGACCTCCTTGAGGTTTGGCTTAATTACCTTTAAATTAAAAAAATTGCAAAGTTACTCTGACACCCCCTATCAGAGTAACGAATGGTTAGTCAATCTAACGTTTCAGGTGCATTTACTAAAATGACCTCAACTTTTCATGCTAAATTACTAATTGTCCAAAGAGCTTCTACAGAAAATATACACATAAATATATATATATATATACACACACACACCATATAATAGAGAGAGAGAGAGAGAGAGGTGAGTGAAAACGTTTTAGAGAGAGAAATATATAAACACACACGTATAGAGAGGATGAGTTTCAGAGAGAGAATGGGTGAACCTATTGTCTCGCCTGCTGGTGATGGCAAAGGGTCCTCTTTGACCAATTTTGGTTTTTAAAACAATTAGAATGAAACACACATTTATTGGTTGAAATATGTAAGTAAATCACACACACACAGGCACACACATATATATATGCATAGTATATACTTATATATGTATGCATAGCGGAGAATTCTTATTCTGTTTAATGGAGTCACTTGTTCCTTTAATTTCTTTCCTTCTTTGATTGTTTCTGTTGGGACGCTTATTGAGTACTTTGTAATATCAGAGCTACTTAGAATTGTAGATTTGTATTGCTTTTATGCATTGAGTTTTGATTATTTGAGATATCTCCTAATTGTTACTTGAAACAAACTTTTAATCCTAGACGTCAAGGTAAATTTTATTAATTGTTAACAGATCATTTTGTTTCTTCAAAAACCAGATTTCTATGGGGGGAAATATATTTTGCTTTGTGAATTTCACGCACAAATTATGTCAAGAAGCAATTGAACATGACATTACGTGTATTGTGTGTTACACTGGATATTAAGAATTATTGAGTATATAATCTTGAATAAAATGATGCAAGATTGCATATTAAATACTGTAGTAAATTCTCTATTTTTGTTGCTATAACAGTTACGTAGTACAAACTATATGCTATAAAAAGACATCTTTATCATTTGTACATCCCTGAGTGAAGTTGAGATAAGTGAAGTAGAGATTTTTGAGGAGAGCTTCCATCCCTCTCTCTATTCTACTCTTTCTTACATATGCGTATATGTGTACGTTCACAAGGTACAGGGTTACCTTGAATCCATAAGGAAGGGTAGTTTGAATCCACAAGGAAGGGTAGTTTGAATCCACAAACTAGAAGAAAATTCATAAAGAATTCTGAAATATTATTGATAAAAGGTTAAATTCTGCTCTTGCAATACATGAATATTTATAATAGAGAAAACCTAACACTAGAAGGAAACTAAAAACACAAGGAAACTAATCCTAGAAATAAGTCCAAAAATAAATTCTCTCTAAAAAATAGAGAAAGAAACCTAATCAAATAAAACTACAAAATGTAAAATCTCAGGGCATTCCGACTTCATTAAGGCCTCGAAAAAAAATTCCGAAATAATGCACAGGCTCCTATGGGCTATAACTCAATAAAACGCGATTTCGGAACCCTAAACGAAGGTTTTCAGCGTAAAACCAACATGGCCCACAAGCTAAATTTCGTTTCAACCCAACTATCACTCCATTCTGGTCAAAAATGGACTTGTCAAACTGCTTGTCGAACTGTTCAGAATTCTATCCTACATCAGTATTTGAATACTTTACGTGTTTTTGCGCTGCGAGCTGATTAAGTTGTATCCTAGAGCTGACTAGTTTCGCCAATACCAGCATGAAGAGTACGAATATCAGTAAGGTCAATGTGTTTTACACATACCTCCACTATCACGTAAGCTCTTTCTTACTTTCTTCAGATTACCCCACAACTTATTGAAAAAATAGACCACGCTAAATCGCAGCTAACTATTTGCAAGAATCAAAACCTCTACTTAAAAGACAAAGAAAATTGTGTCTATGTATATATTGGAGATCAAGTTGTAATGTGTATATATCACTAACAAAAACCATGCATAATAGCATGTGAAACATTGAACATATAAATTTCCCACAAACTGAGACAAAAATTCAAGAGAGCTAAAATTTGCAGCGACAATTTGTAACAAGTAGTTATTCCACTGTTTCTCAGCAGCCAAACATAGCATAAAGATTCAGATCAACAAAACACCCAAAATATATCACAAATAATAACAAAACCAAAAAAACAACAAACAAATAATAATAAACCCCAACAGTCCATACCTTCTCAGATTTCTCTTTCTGTGCTTTCTCTTTCTCCGCTTTCAGCTTCTGCTTCTCCAGCCTCTCCCTCTCCATTTTCTTCACAACAAAAAAAATAAATAAAAAATTATCAAACAAAACTAAAACAATATCTACAAACCCATATATATATATATATATATATAGAGAGAGAGAGAGAGAGAAATGAAAGAAGTAAGAAGAACCTGGATGTAGATGGTCTCAGCAGCGCGTTCTTCTTCACTAAAGACCCTACCTTTGCCATCACTGAAGTAGCGAAGACTCGAAGGTGTTGAGGTTCGAGAGCCCTCCATGAAACGACACAGGGAAGAACGGGAAACGACAGATCTCATAGCCATTGTCAATTGGGTTTATCAACGACTCTCAGATATATATCAGAAATTATCTGGAACTGATAGATTGAGTCAACAAACCCTAAAATGGGTCTCTGGATTATTCCGTAAACTGGCGAAGCTTCGGGTGCCGCTCTCTGGATTGTTTACACGTAACCAAAATGGGTATGAAAGTACACAAGTACCCTTCTCCTATGGTCTAAAAATGATGGATAAATTTATATTGATAAGAGTGAAATAACTATTTGTTAACATAATTGTTAAGGGGAAATACTTTACCCTTCTTATCATTTTAATCATTTTAATAATATTAAAATGATATCACTAATAAATTTAATGATTTTTTAAAAAAAGTTAGTAATTGTTAACGTTAAATTATTGACACGTTGTGAAATGCACTTTTCCATTTATGACACTATATATATATATATATATATATATATTTTATGTGACAAAATATTAATAATTGATAATACCATGATATCACCTGATAATTTTGGATTTCATATAAACGATAAAAACTTTAAAGGCAATAAAAATTGATGGTTTAAACTTACCATTAACAGTTTAGCCCTAAATTCTGTTTGGCTCAGCCCACCACTGAATCAAGATTATGAAACCTTGGTTTCAACCACTTGTGGGCCCAACCTAGGTATATATATTTATATTTGTAAAAATTATAGCCCAAAAGGGAATGGCCCAAGAAAGCCAACAAGGGAGTACAATAAGCACAACCCATGGCTGAAGGCACAATTAAGCCCAACCCAACAGGAGGGAGATGGAAATTCCAATCAGCTAACCGCTTGTCTCAAATTCGAGAAAATACTTTATTGCTCCGCTTGTATTGATGACATGGTTAGTGTCACGGTTAAATATTGATATGCAGTGATTGAACCTACTAAAATAAAGCGATTTAACATAATATAACCAGTGCAGAGAAGTCTTTCTCTTCAAATCCAATGAAGATAACCATTGTCAAACAAGCTCCACGCTAGAGTTAATCACAAGGGGCGAGATGAGGGTCTTAGCATGTAACTGGGCAGATCCCAAATTTGTTTGCCGGTGAAGAGGGGTTTCAAATGTTCAATTGAGATATTTTTATAGGTAAAATTGTAATGACGGGTTTGATGCATCAATAAAGTTGCTCCATGTAACCTGAAAAACAGACTCAAACAAAAAAAACCAATTTTCAAACTCCGCAGTGGCGGTAACTTGGTGCATTGAGTTAGTCGATATAAGTAGGATTGTGCTATACATTATATAAGACTAATAAAATTAAGCTAACTTCTTACTCAAATAAAATATTCCTATACTGATCTAACAATTGTTAATTATTAATCGAGAGGTGAGAGTTGGAGTTTAATCCACCAATTTGTAAATTATGTGCGAATTTACGTAACTAAAATAATAATAATAATAATAAATAATGCGATGATATTCCCTAGTCTAGTTATAAGTCATTTCTCCCAAATAAATAGATAGGGCTGATTGAAGTGGACCATTTAAGCTGTCTATGTGCTTTGCAGGTACAAAATAATGGTGAGGTACATAGTCATGTCGTTTTGTCCTGATAATTTTTTTTCCCGGGTGGGCCATGCCAGTAGATATTTTTGTAGGTTTATATAGCTGGCATGATCCTCACATTACTCTCTGATTTGTGACAAAAAGGTATATATAACGGTCGATTAAAGATGTGATACTGATGCACAAGTAATTATTGTATTGCCTTGCATCTATATATATATATATTTTTTTTTTTTTCTGTCATGTAAATATATATTATTTTCTTTTTGAACTGCTGTTGTATTTTTTTTTTTGGCCCACACATACCATAACACTAAGAACCGCAAGCACTGACAAAAAAATTAATTTCAAACAAACCCAATACCAAGCTAGGTCACGACATTAATTTTGATAATAACCTAAAGTTTAAAAGGTATCTAGAGCGCTGGACGGACTAGCACTCACCAAAAGTGCAAGTTGAGTTGCAAAAGATTGAGATGGAGACAATTTAGAATGGCAAGATTCTCCATTTTGCGCACCTGACTTTCTAGAAGAATCAAAAGGGTTTCATACCATAACACCAAAAGGGCACATCGCAGAAGGCGTATACACTGCGCCACCCCCCATAGATTTGAGTTTCTTGTCTCCCGCAACACAACCCCCCCGAGACCGACTCGAAATGGATTGTCTTCGTTTACGTCCTTGCCTGGTCGGGGAAGATTCCTATCTCTAAAAGGTGGCAGAAGAATCGAAACGTTTTTTTTTTTTTTTTGAACCGTTAAAGTGGGTAAAATGTGAAAGAGTTGTGATATAGTATTCCAAAAATATAGTTATATAAGTAAAAGATAACGTTATTGATTGTATATGTCTGCCTTCAGAGGTATAGCAGCGTTGACAGAGATTCAGGAAGTAAGTACTTGATATTTCGCTTTCGAATCGTACACTTTACTTAAATGTTGTTTGTATTGTGGGCCGATACATATACTTAAAAAAAAAAAAAAAATGTGATTATATATGTCCAACTCTCTAACTATTTATTATTTTTTAAACTAAAAAGTTCCAACGGTGCTTTACTCTTAGCAGTTATATACTTGAAAGCATAAAATGAGTACCTTAAAATTAGACTTCAAATTAATGAGTACCTTAAAATTAGACTTCAAATTTGAAAGTAATTTCTTAGTACCAAATATAACGGTTTAATTGTTAGTACATTAATACCAAAGTGTACATAAATATCAAGTTCAAAATCTAACCAAAGTGAATTTTACTCTGTCCTCTCACGCTCTCATTCTCAAATTTACTCTCGTTTTATGTGACTTAGGTCACTTAATACTTGCCTTTGAATTAGTTGAATTATGATTAGGAGATAATTAATAAAGATATTGATATTGGCCCTCTAAGAAGATACTTTAGACACTTCACTCTCCTTCTCTTTTAATGTTAAATTAAAAAATAATAAAATAAAATAAAATCCTGAACCATACATGGTATGCTTCCTGAAATTTTCACTCACATAATTGCCCTTTATAATATATATATTTTTCAAGCAACCACATAATATATAAGAAACATTTAACATATTATATAAAGAAATTTTTTTGTTAACTATATATGATTATAACATCTTGTAAAATTTAATTTCTGAAAAAGAAAATATGTTTTAAAAATTACATAATGCATAGTAATATTTTAGATAAAATACAGCCACATCCCTCTGAGGTTTGGCAAAAGAACATTCAGAGGAAACTTACCTGTTTTTTGAACAAAGACACTCTTTGAAGGTTCGAAAATGGACAAAGACACCCCTTTACATGAAAAATTAACCAAATTACCCTTTGACCGTTTAGAAGACTTTTTTAACTTTACAATTTAATAAATTGGACCAATCTACCCTCATGAATAATTTATGCATAAAAAAAAAGTATTAAAAAAAAAACTTTATATTGTTCACTTTTTTTTTTTATTTATTTACTTTATAAATGTCACAACTTCTTAAAAATGTAGATTTCTAAAATGATTTTTTGATTCAATACATATATTTCAAATAAATTATATTTTGTTATTACTTCTTTTTTATTTTTAAATTAAGATGCTTAATTCTTTCATCTAAAAAAATAAAACCAATCATTTTCCTTAAAAATAAAAAATATGGTACCAATATAACTTTATGCATCTTAAATTATATATCAAATATTATGCATTTTCCAATATAAAAGAAAATAGGTACCAGTGTAACTTTATGCATGCCTTTGTTTGTTTTTTTTTTTTTTTTTTTTTTCCCTTTGTTTTATTATTATTTTTCCCTTTGTTTTATTATTATTATTTTCCCTTTTATGTTGGGAAATGCATAATATTTGATATATAATTTAAGATGCATAAAGTTATACTAGTACCATATTTTTTATTTTTAAGGAAAAGAGATTGGTTTATTTTTTTTAGATGAAAGAATTAAGCATCTTAATTTAAAAAAAAAAAGAAGAAAAAAAGAAAAGAAGTAATAACAAAATATAATTTATTTGAAATATATGTATTTGATCAAAAAATTATTTTAGACGTCTACATTTTTAAGAAGTTGGGACATTTATAAAGTAAATAACAAAAAAAAAAAAAAAATGAGTGAACAATATAAAGTTTTTTTTTTTTTTTTTTTTTTTTTTTTACATTTTTTTTATGCATAAATTGTTCATGATGGTAGATTGGTCCAATATATTAAATTGTAAAGTTAAAAAAGTCTCTTAAACGGTCAAAGGGTAATTTGATCAATTTTTCATGTAAAGGGGTGTCTTTGTCCATTTTTAAACCTTCAGGGGTGTCTTTGTCCAAAGAATAAGTAAGTTTCATCTGAGTGCCTTTTTGTCAAATCTCAGAAGATGTGATTGTATTTTACCCTAATATTTTTTACAAGACATCGAGTGGTAGATGAAACAATATGTACACACTGTACACACATACACGCACAACTCTCCCATATCAAGTCCTACATGACTCTTTTTAGAATGAAATGATACAATTGTTTTCTAAAAACAACCTTCAATAATCTTATAACATTTAATTTTTATTAAATTTGTAAGTGATATGGTACAACGGTTAAAATAATTTTTGATTCAAATAAAAAATTTAAACTATTAAATGAGTTAACATTCAATCTATATATATATATATATATATATATATATATATATATATATATATATTGATTCAAGTCCAATTTTTTAATTCCAATCTAATATTGGACAAGTCTTTCTTGTAGCATGTAAATCATTACCTAATCTCAATAAATTACAATTTAACCTTTAAATAAATGGGTTTTGCAAAGACAGGACCGTGTAACGATTTCTATTTCAGACAAGCCCTCTTTTTAGTACAAGAAGTTGTACAGAGAATACGTTGGCTTGTGGACACGTCAGCTCCAGAAACAATTTTTAAAAAATATATAAAAAAAAAAATGTGTTGTACTATTTAATTTCAGAGGAGGCGTATGCTGGTGTCTTGAGAGAGAGAGAGAGAAGCGCTTCCTGAGTAAGAGTACCACTTTCTCTCTCTATTGAACCTCAATAATTTTCGGAATCCGAAGAGCTGTTCTCTTCCATCAAAGAAAAGCAAAAGAGCGCTTCTTTTCTTCTCACACGAAAGAGAAAGTTCTACATATTTAAATCCTCTGTAAACCCTAACCTAATTAATTAATTGATTAATTAACTAATTGTTCGATCGATTGATAATCAATCATCAGATCAATTGATCCAGCTGTGTTGTGTAATTGAGACCCCCAAATTCTCAGAATCGGCGAAAATGGTGTCGGCTAATAGGGAGATGGTGGTGTACTGCTTCGACATCCTCGTCGCTCACTACAACAGCGAACAAGCCCCTCCTCCTGCTTTCGATGAGGGTCAACAGTATGCTCTTTCTCTCTCTAAAATTATATCCCTCTTCTCTCACGTGTGTTCATAGTCAGCCGATGAATGCTTTTGATTTCCTTTTTGTTTGTGGATTAAATCCTATGGTGTTTTGACTATTCACTTTGACGGTGTAGCTTATTTTTGTTTAATTTATTTATTTATGGAGTGTTTTTATGTTAGTTATTTGATAAATATGTTTCTTACTTATTTCCTTTTTGTTGAAAGAATAATCTGTTGAGTGCATTAAGAAATTAGTGTTTGCACGTTATTGTATTTGCTTCTTTTTTTTTTTTTTCTGATTTATATGTATTTAGTGTTTGCTTGAATTTTTTAAAGACTCTTCCATTAGCGCGACTTTTATTCAGAAACAAAAGTTTTCATTTAAAGAACAGTTTTTGGGGAAAAATTATGTCACAGAAAGGAATTTATTGATGTGGATTTCATGGTGAAGCTTGGAAAACAAGCATTTGTGTCAATTTTTTCCTTAGTAACAAACTGAGCTAGAGGGAGCCATGTTTTGGTTATTTTTGGGTCATATGTTTAGCCTTGATTGCGAAAGTTCAACATTTTTTGTCCTTTTTTTAAAAAAATATTCTGGAAACGGGAAAAGAAGGTTGTGTTGAGGGACATATTTATAAGCATGGTATAGAAAAATGATCAAAAATCAGTCTTTGCTTGCAAGGAGCTGGGGCCTTGAAATTTGGATCGGAAGAACCAATTCTAATTTTCATTTTCTTTCCACCAGTGATTTTGGAGTTGAATGATTCGTATAGTAGGTACCCTCCCCTCTTGCAGTAGATTTGCAGCTTCATGCCTAGACATTATATTTTTTTACCTAGAGAGAAGGTGTCGGATCAAACATGGCACCTTGACCTAGAGGAGGGGCTCTTGACATTCAAAGTGGTTTTGGACTGAAATCATTATTTTAAATGACCGTTATCTATCTGAGTCATCTCACTATGGGCAATAGACACATCACAGATAGTATTTGTTAGGTGACAAATGGTGGAGTGTTGTACTTTCAGTTACAATTATTATAATTTAGGAATTCAGTAATTCTTAAAACTAAATTTATGTATGTTTTGTGGTTGCTAGCCCAGAGCACAAATTCTTTGGAAATTAAGCACACAATTCCTCTACTGTGTGATATGCCCTATGTGTATTTTTTGGGAGTCATTGACTGCATTTCATGACACTGCTATTTGATACTCTACCATGGATCTGCTGCATTATATTCTATTTGATTAACTTGTGAATTTTGAATATTGATTATCTTGTGTAATTCTCATGTGGTCATGTAAATTTTACAGCCTGTGCAGAGCTTAACTTGCTGGAATGCTGTTTATACTTTAACTACTCTCTTGTATTTGATAATGGGTGACTATTGCTTTGGGTTTGGTTCTACATTGTTTAATAGTTCTACATTGTTTAATATGGTATATATTATACCATTTGACAACAGTTGGCCACATAAAAACTATACTTTTTTCCCCATGCTTTGGGATTTTGAATTTCTTCTTGTTTTTTAAGATGGAGATTGCTCTTGCTATTGTACCAAGAGTTAAAAAGCAAGTTCTAGTTGCTTTCATTGACAATTGATTCTGTAGTGTTTTGAGTATTATTTTGCAGAGTTGCTGAATATTTTTGCATTACTGAAGCAGTTATTAGTATAAAAAAAGGCTAGCCCAGTGCATGAGGCTCCCACCATTGCGGGGTCTGGGATGATCAAATGTATGCAGCCTTACCTCCGCATGCGGAGAGGCTGAAACAATTATTAGTATGTAAGTAGAAATTAATAAGGAAATAAAAGAACCAAAGGCAGCAGTCAATTTTTGGCAGACTTTTTCTTTTAATCTTGTTAGCATTAAATAAGTATTTTATTCTATTTTTTTTATACAGAGCAGCGTGTTTCATATATGATCATCTAACCAAGAGTGCACATTCGTATACAGTGATTATGGTTTTATCGCATACCAAATGCACATTTACAAACTAAAACCCCATTGGGTATGATGTTCTATCTGCAATATTCTGGTTTCAGCCCATTGTTTGTTACTTGGAAGAAAGTTGTAAATGGTGGGGAGCCTCGACTACGTGGATGCATTGGGACTCTGGAGGCCCGCGCCTTAATCAATGGTTTCAAGGACTATGCGCTAACGAGGTATTTTGCAAAGGAAGGGCTTCGAATTTATTTTTTGTCTATCCATCTCTATCTCTAGTTTTAAGCCACATTTCTTTGCTTAAATGTTCTTTACTCCAAATAAATAGAAATAGGTCTCGACATTATTTCCAATAATTTTCTTTCTTAATCTTTTTAAAATTTTCTTTTGTTTAATTCTTTTATTTATTTTTGTAGATATGTCACAATTTCAATTAGAGACTTTAGCAATAACGTGCTAATTTGCAAGTATGAAAAAAGACATTTTTAACATTTCTATGTAATCAACTGCATGATTCTAGAGAAGTCAAACTTCTTATAGTCTTTAGTAGCTTTGATGCTTAAATCAGCATTAGACCCAGCTTCTTAATTGTTTGAACTCTAATTTATATGTTTCTGAGCTATACTGCAAGCTGCTGGTTTTTGTTGGTTGTTATTGCTTTTTGTTGTGATTTAATGAAATTGATTTAATCACCACAAAAAAAAGAATAAAATAAAATAGAAGAAGAAGAAGAAAGAAATCCCCAAAAACATCAGCTTATATAAGTCTATATCTCGAATGTTGTGCAGCGCCCTGAAGGATCGCCGGTTCCCCCCCATACAGGCTAAGGAGTTGCCTAATTTGGAATGTACAGTTTCCATTCTGACTGATTATGAAACTGCTCCCCACTACCTTGATTGGCAGGTTTGTGATTTCAAACTTGTTTTGATTTTTTGAACAGGAATTAGGGTGCATGGATGTCTTGGCTTTTACGTCTCTGATTCTCTGCATTGGATCAACCACATTCTCTCAGCCAAAATTCTCAAAAAGATTGATCCAAACAATATTATGCATAGACCTTAGATGATTCCATGTTAGGGATGGATATATTGCTTGAAAATATTAAATGTGTAATGCGATTGGTATTAGTTGATTCTGGACGCAGAAATGTTTTTCACTATAAGTGTTTTCTAAATGATCCAACAATGTTTTAATGTTATTTACTGGAAAAAGAATTAAGTAAATGATTTGGAGTCCAAATTAGATTACTGCACTGAATTTAGATGAGATTAGGTTGGACCTTATTCATGCTGCAATATGGGATTGCTCATGTAAATTTTGCAACTTTTCTTTCTTGGATTGTTCAACTGGATGATATTTTTCCAATTGGAAATTGGATGAAGTCTTAAGTGGTTCGGATGGATAGTATTGTAGAATTGTCAACTTTACAATTCTCCTAAATTATGACTAGATGGGATCATTATTGGTTATCGTGTATGGGTGTCACTGTCTTGATTTTACAGCTGAAATCCTATTTTTAATAAAATCTAGTATTAGGATTTTCTATAGCTTTATGTTTTTTTGCCCTGCATATGGCGTTGTGTGTTTCGTCCTTGAGTATTTATTGCTTTCTTGCAGATTGGGAAGCATGGTATAATCATTGAGTTCACTGATCCTGACTATAATACAAGGCGAAGCGCCACATACCTGCCCGAGGTGGCTGCTCATGAAGGTGAGTTTGTTGGGTATGCTCTCTTTGTTAGGCTTCTTACCACAAAATGTACTGGACAGAGTGAATATGCCTATCAGTTTGAGGGGATTTGCTATTACAAAAGGGTTCTTATCATCATAATCTTGGTATAATAATTGGAGATGTCTTTTATGTGCCCATTCCTTTTCCACAACATATTTTTTATGCCTTTTCACTGTTTGCTGTTTCTTTTCTAAAAAGATTGGAGTAATGAGAATCTGTGAAATTAGAGTAATTTGCTTTATTTGATTTCATTCTTAATTTTGCATTGGTAAACCAAGAGTCAAGCTCCTATTGTTACTTATTACTTGCGGTACTTCCTATGTTGCACAGACATGAAGATAAAGTCACACAGACCTATTGACAGAATGAGTTCTTAAAAGTACGACATGGACATTTTCTGTTTACTCGTTTTATCTTCTTGACTCAGTGATTCCAAAAAAAAAATATGACATGAACATGACAGAGACACGGCATATATGAATACGTGATTAAAAGGACTTCTCTCCTCTGAGCTTCACTACTCGGAGATAAAACCTTCCAATATGTTACCTATTTTCCTTTGCTACTATTACTCTTTTTTCCCAGTGCCAAAAGAAAGCCATTTCCTAATAGCCAAGATTCAGCGCTGTTGGGTCCCAAGGCGTGCTCACAGATGGAGATTTATACATAGAAAAGATAAAGCAAGATCTGGTTTCTAGAGAGAGAGAGAGGCTAACCTTAAAATCAAAAGGAGATAATAGACTTATTTGAGGAATGGATAAGGCAACAGGGGATTTAACCGATTCTTTCATGGGCTTGGGGTGTCTGCAGGTTTTGTGTATGGGATGTTATTAGGAGATTTGATTAATGGGCTTAAAAATAAAGAATGGATTAATGGGCATGAGCTTCCTAAGCTTTTTCTGTGCTTAAAATTAAAGAACGGATTAATAGACATGGACTTCCTAAACTTTTTATGGGCTATTTTCAAGAGCTTAGATGAGCCAAGCCAAATGCTGCTCGGGCTTAGCTTGTTTACTTACAAGCTGAAAATAAGCTCGAAGTCGGCTTGTCTACTTAATGAACGAACCTGAGCCGAGCTCTAAACAAGTCGGGTTTGGGTTTATCATGAACAACTTCATTTGCAGCCTAACCATTACTAAAACAAGAAGCATGAGCAATGATTTCCTATGAAGCTTCCCTTTCTGTTCTCCAAATGAACTTTAATCTATTGCGACTTCTAATTAGTAAGTTAGTAACTGGATGTGGTACTGGTGCTTGGATGTTAACATGCTTTCATATTTATATCTATTCTTGAAATGCTCTTTAATTTGCTACACGAAATTGAAATAGGCAAATTCAACAATCTTTAAGTAATGATTATTCTTTCACAAAGCATCATTTTAGCCATTCTTTTTTCATTGTGAATGAATGATTGAAGAATAAAGATTTGAAAAGTTAGTGTAGCATTCTAGACTTGTGTATGTATTCGGGTAGGAAAAAATGGTGTTATCAAAAGTGATATTTATGTTTTGAAGTGTTAACCTCTACTGTAAACATGAACCAGACTTTTATTTGAAGCATTGGGTTTTTATTGGTAACTAGTTTCTCATTTGTTGTATTTTGTTTTCAGGTTGGACAAAGATTGAAACAATTGACTCATTGATACGGAAAGCAGGTTACAATGGCACCATCACTGAATCACTCAGGAAGCGCATCAAGCTGACCCGTTACCAGAGCACGCTATTCACTATGCACTATGGTGATTACATCTCCTATGTCAAGACAACCAGAGGTGCTGCTCCCTCTGTTGTTGGGGCTAAGCCCAGCTAATTGTTCCAAACAGCTTTCTTTGAAAGCATAACCGGTTTGGTTATCAATGGGTTGGAATGGATTTCTTGGGGTTCCAACCCATACAAGAAATTGTAATAACCTGTCTAAATTATTTCTTCAATTTCATTTGATTTTGAAGAGAACACCAAAAACACTCTTCCATTTGAACTCTGGTTACTGTGCCTATTGCACAAAATTTGTGTCTGGCAGCTTCTCTGGAACTGCAATGGTGTATACCATTATTGTTTGTAATATACATTTGACCCAGTGTGTTTATTTGTATCTCTCCCTCTTAAGTTTCCTCTTCGTCTCGGGCCTTTTAAAAACCGAATTAGAGGTACGTTGCCTTTTCTTCTTGTTTCTCATAAAATGGTTTAAGTACATAATTAGTTCCACTTGTCTAATACTGCACACGCACATGAACACAAACACATGTACGCATAAACGCATACGTTCTTGTAGTTCATGTTCTCAATGCATTGCTTAAGCTGTTCTGATTGCTTCATGGCATTGACAAGGTTCTATTCAAAATGCGCGCACACGCGCGCGTATACACATGCACGTAATGTATTTTACTCCATCAGATTTGGGTGGGCAAAGGGGAGGGGCGCGCCTACGGTAAGGTTGTTGCTCCATTGTGACCAGCTGAGTCGGGGAGCAGTCTCGGTTACTTTGTTGAATGGGCACTGACTTCAGCCGTGACTTTATCATCAGCAGTGACTTTATCATGGGGTTCCAAGCGTTCTCTAGAAGACAGTTCTACAAGGAAGGATAACTCATACCCGAGAAATCATCTCTGAAAGAAGCATCTCGATTCAGTCTCACTGCATACGAAAGTAAGAGTGCATAGCGACAGTGGCACATTGTCTACCAATTCAGGTTATTGGATGGTCTACTAATCCAACTTGAATCATATCACTATGTTAGTGGTACAGAAAATGCACGGTCTTGGAGGATCACATCAACAACAGTGTCAGCTCCCCTACCCATAGCCACATCTTGGGCATCTACCACGACATCAACCATGGATCCAGTTCTCACGAGAAGAGCATAGCTTGATTGGTGAGCCTAAATTGAACCTAACTTGACAATTTCGAGCCTAACCCTAGTTCAGGAAAAGAAAACTTGGGTTAGACTCGTTGTTTTGGAGGATGGTTTGGGTTAAGAGTTTAATATCACCGGTTGAGTTCGGTGACCCTTGGATTGAACTTCCCCTGAAAAATAAATAATAATAATAATAAATAAAGCCATATTGTATCTGCAATCAAGGCATTTTTGCATTATCAAAATTTATAACAGGAATTTGGTAATGCTTGGAGATAAGACGAAATATTTTGGATGCAGAAATCTCGCGTAGCATGGTTGCAACATGGTGATAAGAACACCAAATTTTTTCATAGGAAAGCGCAAATTCGCCAGAGGAAAAATGAAATCATTGGTTTGGAAGATTCCGGTGGTTTGTGGAGGGATTCTAAGGATGACATTCGTAAGGTTGTAGAAGATTATTTCCATCATCTTTATTCCTCTTTCCCAGAGCAAAATGATCCTTCATTCTGGAATTTGGTTTTACCAAAAGTTACGCACGCCATGAATACTGACTTGTTGAAAGATGGCATGGTGGAAGAACTTCGGTTAGCTCTTGCAAGTATGGGTCCTTACAAAGCCCTAGGTCCAGATGGGTTCACTCCTCTGTTCTTCCAAACGAATTGGGAGGTTTTAAAATTTGATCTGTCAAGGGGCTTTAATAATTTCCTTCATGGTGGTCTTTTGCCTAAAAGTCTCAATGCCACTAATCTTGTTTTAATCTCCAAGCTCAAACATCCTACTCTCATGGCTAATTTCAGACCAATTGCCTTGTGTAATGTTGTTTACAAATTATACTCGAAGACCCTCGCCAATCGACTCAAACCTCTTCTTCCGATTCTCATTAGTGAGGCTCAAAGCGCTTTTGTCCCTCATCACCTCATACACGATAATATTGTCATCACCCATGACCTCTTGCACGTGCTCAAGTCAAAGAAAAATGGGGATTCTTGTTTTATGGCAGTTAAACTGGACATGGCTAAGGCATATGATAGGGTGAGCTGGACTTTTCTTCGTAAATTTATGACTTTTTTGCGTTTTGACCAGCGGTGGGTGAGCCTGATGATGGAGTGCATTGGTACGGTTTCCTATTCAGTGATTTTGAATGGTGAAGGTGGTGATCTGTTTGTTCCATTCAGGGGTCTTCGGCAGGGAGATCGTCTCACCCCGTACCTGTTCCTTTTTTGCACGGAAGGTTTGTCTCTCTTATTTTAGGAATTTGGGCGACGTAAACAACTTCTTGGGCAGAAAATGGCTCGAGGTTGCCCCCTATATCTCATCTTCTTTTTGCCGATGATGTCCTTCTTTTCTGTAAAGCAAAGGACCCAGAGGTACGAAGTGTGAAACTTCTTCTCGACAGATATGCGGTTTTAACAGGCCAACTAGTCAATTTTGATAAATCAAGCATTTATTTCTCTCCTGATTCTTCCCAAGACCAGAAGGATTTTTGCAGGCATTCCTTAGGGATTCACGATGTGGATTGGCACAATACCTATCTTGGCTTACCTTCACTTTTAGGGAAATCCAAAGTTGCGACTCTTCAAGTCATTTCAGATATAGTTTCGGCGAAAGCTAAACTTCTCAAAGGAAAGTTCCTTTCTCGGGTCGGTAGAGAGGTGATGATTAAAGCGCTACTCTCTTCCCTTCCAACTTACAACATGCAGTGTATTAAACTTCCTAAACATAATTGCAACGACTTGACACGCATATTCACTAACTTTTGGTGGAGCAGTGAAGAAAATCAAACAAAATCAAGTGGATTAGTTGGGATACACTTTGTCTTTCCAAAATGCAGGGTGGTTTGGGTTTTAAAAACATGGAGGCTTTTAATTTGGCTTTGCTGGCCAAGATGGCGTGGAGAAATATTTTAAACATTGCAGTTTTGTGGATGCTTCCCAGAAAGCTCGCGCTTCGTGGGCCTGTAAAAGCATTCTTTCTGCGTGGGAAGTTATTAAGAAAGGGATGAATTGGAGAATTGGGGATGGTTCGTTAGTCAATTGCTGGAAGGATAATTGGCTTCCTGATGTTGCTAATCATGCGGTCGTGTCATCTCCACTTGGTGCCTCTTTTTTCTCCATTGCTGATTTAATTTTTCCATCCTCCCATCAATGGAATTCTGATCGCGTGCGTCAACATTTTAATCCGAGGGATCGCGATTTGATTTTACAAATTCCAATTAGTTTTATGGGTGGAGTGGATTGTAAAGTATGGGGTGCCTCCAAAGATGGCTCCTTTTCAATTAAAAGTGCTTACCAAGTTGCTCTCTCTATCCTAAACCAGAAATCAGTTTCATCTTCTAATGATGGTAGTAGTTTTGATGCAAGCAAAATTAATATGTGGCGCAAGGTTGGTCTATTCAGACTCATCAAAAAATCCAATTGTTTCTTTGGCAGAGTCTACGTGATAGATTACCAGTTAACAAGTAGCTTTCTTTTCGCGGCTGCTTGGAGGTGATCTGATGCCCTTATTGTGAAGATCAAGTTGGAACTGTTGACATCTGCTATGTACATGTCCTTTTGCATGTCAGGTTTGGTTGCTCAGCCCTCTTAGGCTGGATTTTCGGGGCTTGTTCCCATCCATTTGGCCAAAACGCTAGACCAAGCTTTCCAATCTTTTGATGTTGTCTGCAAGTTCGGGGGAGGCTTTAAGCCTTGCGGCTTTTGTTTGTTGGACCCTCTGGAAATGTAGGAATGATTTCTCTTTTAATAACAAGAGATGGGAGCCATGGAATGTAGCTTAGAAGGCCCTCACCGACTTTCATGAATTTCAGGAAATTTCCCGTCAAAGCCGGTTGCTTTCTCTTCCTCCATCTCCAGCCGTTGCTCCTCCAGTGGGGTGGTGTGCTCCGGCGTTGGGATTTCTTAAACTTAATTTCGATGCAGCGTTTGATGTCTCTAAAAAATCTTCTGGTGGGGGTATTATCCTTCGAGATCATCTTGGCTAGGCCATCAAAGTTGCAACGATTTTCCTTCCCCATGTTTGTGGCCCTTCTCTTGCTGAAGGTCTTGTCCTTCGGGTGTGTCTTCATCTCCTCCAAGCATGGGACTACCAGAATGTGATTATTGAAGGAGATTGTTAGCCGGTTATGAACCTCCATGCCTCGAGTCAAGTGTTAACGGTGGTTCTTCATGATGTTTCTTCTCTTCTGAATGCTTGTATAGGTTCTTCTTTATTATGGGTGCCTCGGGGAGGTAATGTTGTAGCTCATTTATTGAGCAAGAAGGCTTTGAATGCCGATTGTGGTGATTTGGAGTGGAATATCTGGCCCAAGTGGCTTCTAGATGCTATCTGAGTGTAGTTCTCGTTTTTCTTAATGTTAAGGTTTGGTTTGGTGCAAAAAAAAAAAAAAAAAAAAAATACCACTCAAGGAATATTTTACGAGTATACCATATAATGATCTCCTTTATCTCTCTCTATTTTTTAAAATAAAAAATAAATTTTACAATTACCTAGAAGAATAGGAATTCTTTTTTAAATAATTATTGGAATGCAAGAGTGCTTATGCAATTTTGCATCAAAATTGTGTCATTTTAATAATTATACTAGGGGGTAAAGTGGAAATGCTTGGTGTTAAAAAGAAAACCTCTACATTTTTCAAATTGAGCAAATAAGAACATTTTGTCAATTTTAAGATTAAAATACATAAAGTACCCTTAAGACAAAATAAAATTTTAAAAATTGATTTCATAAAATACTGATTATTAAGGGTATTTTGAGATTTTAATAAAAAAATTTATTAAAATTAATATTTGCACTTATTTTCAAATGGTGGAAATTTATACCCACGGGCTTAATAACTGGGATTTTTTTTTTTTTTTTTTTTTTGCAATTACCAAAATAATAAACAAATAAATAAACAAATAAAAACAAATGGCATACAATCGAAAAAGAAAAACTGCAGGGTTTAGAATTGTAGTGCAAAATGAGCATCCTATAGTCTTCCACAAAACTACAGCACCTAACTAAACCAGTAGGAAACTTTCCCTGCGGTTTCTCAAGTTAACTAATAATCCAGAGAACTTTACTTTCAAATTTTCAATTCCTCTGACTCGTTCAGTCTTCTTCGTAGTCTTGCACGCGAAGCAAAAGCCAGATTTCAATTTCAGGTTCTCTCTCTATATGTGTGTGATATATATGCATATCGATCTTTTCTTGTTCCGTTCGGATTGATGATCCAGATTCACTTTGGATTCCTCCTTATCTTCGATTTTCGTCGTGAAGTTTTTTATTAGGTCGGCGATTTGATTCCAATTCAACCGTTGACAAATCTTTATATTACAATTAGGCATTTACAGTGAATCAGCTTCTGTAAATTTAGCAAGAGGCTATAGTTTTGTTCGTATTTCAAGATCTCATCAGTGTATGTTTTTTAATCGTAAAAAAGCACGCTTGTTAGGGTTTTAATTATTTGTATATGTTTGTTTTATAAATCGTTTATATATATATATATATATATATATATATATATATATTGATGGATAGATAAATGAATTTGTCGTGCTATTATGCTTAATGGGTTTTGATTTTAATTTTGTTTATTAAATTGAAATTCATTATAAAATCCCAATTTTGTTAGGTTACTGTTGCATTAAGGAACTCAAAATCTCTGAAGTTTATGAAGCTATAGTTGAGAGATGAGTCAGAATCAGAAAGGGTTAATTTATAGCTTTGTAGCAAAAGGAACAGTTGTTTTAGCGGAGCACACGCCATATTCTGGCAACTTCAGTACCATTGCTGTGCAGTGCTTACAGAAGCTGCCTTCTAATAGCAGCAAGTACACATACTCTTGTGATGGGCTTACCTTCAACTTCCTCCTTGACACTGGATTCGGTAATGGTTCTTCATCTGAGTTGATAATACAAACTCTTTTTTTAACTCATCCTAGCAAACAAGTTTTGGTTGGTAACTTTTCTTGGCCATGCAGTTTTTCTTGTCGTTGCGGATGAATCATTAGGGAGGAGTGTGCCCTATGTGTTTCTTGACAGAGTCAAGGATGACTTCAAACAGCGTTACGGTGCAAGTATCAGAAGTGACAACACCCACTCTCTTGCTGATGATGACGATGAAGATGATGATTTATTTGGAGATCGGTTTAGTATTGCATACAATCTTGACCGAGAATTTGGGTGTGTATATCTCTTTACTCATTGGGAATATGCATTGAATTCTGGTGTCTACTGCCCCAATTTTATGTTGGTCATATTTTTGTTCATTGTCTACCAGCCCAAAGCTCAATTTTATGTTGGTCATATTTTTGTTTATTGTCTACCAGCCCAAAGCTCAAAGATCACATGGAATATTGTATGAATCATCCAGATGAAATTAGTAAGCTGTCCAAACTGAAGGCTCAAATAACAGAGGTCAAAGGAATAATGATGGACAACATTGAGAAGGTAAATGTTTATTTCTTCAGAGAGATATATAGATATTGAGAATGATAAATGTGTAGTATATATAATAAGTGACAATTTAAGTCTTCTAAGTCCGGTTATGATCAGGTTGAAAAAACTATAGAGCAATGAGTTTTCCCATGTGAAAATAGTTGAAATTGTGTTTTTGTTTACTGAGGAAGGTTGTCCTCAAAATTCATAAAACACAATAAATTGATAAGCTGTAAAGATTTGAGCACTAACACTCACCATATTGTGCTAATTGCTGTAGTTTCTACGTCTACAATATTCATAAATCATGAAATTTCATACAAAAAATTTAAATAATGAAATGAAATGTCAAGGAAGCAAAATATTCTTCTATGTTCAGTTTTTATGGTTGCAGGGTACTTTCATTCTTTCTTTTTCTTTTTCTTTTTCCCTTTCAAACCAAAACTACTGTCTTCTAAACTGAAACATCTGAGTCTTCGACTATGAAGCATAATAAATAAATGATTTTTTAGACTATCTTTTGCTTCTTGTTTAAAAGACAGAGAACACGGCTGACTCATTAGACTTGGAACTTGGGTTTAATGTTCAAAATAGCTTGACCACTTTTTAATTGGCGTTGGACTCTAATAAATATCTTGAGTGATTGAGTAAAACTTTTGTCTAATCAAATGTCTACTTTAGCCAATTGCAATTTGACTGTGGACAACTGTTGATAAAGTTTCAAATGAATTAAGCAGAGCCGAGTTCAATTTTTCACGCTTGGCTCAACTAAAATATACAATATTGTAATTTGGCTCGGCTCAACTGAGCTTGAGGCGCTAAGCTTGGCTAATAAGGTTGAAATTTTTGGACCTGAGAGTTCTTAATGGATGAATTCCTGAACCAAATTCCATAAAGCCTTGTCCCTACTATTTCAGTTGGCTATGTGAATCCTTTTTTGCCATTTCGTTTTGTATAAGGTCATAATTTTGTAATGAACAGGGTAAAAACGTGAAAGACGAAAAAGTTGAGGTAATGTTATGGCTTAGGACATGCCAGACTTACAAGGAATGGAACAGTGAGTTTTGAATATCTAATTCTATTAAGTAATGAAAGTAAGGGGAAATTATACCAAACACTATTATCCTCCATATTCACAAGCCCATACAAGTTGGGAGGGGTGGTGGTTTCTAAATGAGATTCTGAATTAGGCTTAAGCTCAGTACACTATCTAAATAAATTAGTCTCAGATAAATTCATAAATACTACAATTTATATGTTGTTATTTCCCTTAGCATATTTGGTTTGATGAGTTGTGTATCTACTGTCTCTTTTAATTAGAAATTCTGATAACTTCCTCGCTTTAGGATCCCTTAGGCCTTATAGAAATGCTTAAACTTCAGCCATATCGGTGTTACCATATTATAAAGTCTTAGATAAAGCAACCATGATGTGGTTCTCGTGCCACTTCAGTCATTTTGACATCCTAGATTGACCAGCCCATCTAAGTTCAGCTTCAAAGATTACATTTGGAATCGACACTAAGGAGCCACAGAATATCGAATCTTATGCTGTTAGCTTCAGGCCTCAGTTGGGACATTGATGTGTTTGTTATACTTGAGAGGGAAAAATTTTTGAAAAAGAAAAAGAAAAAGAAGGGTCCCACAACATTTTTATTGTGGACGTGGCATGTAAATATGCTTCTATTTATGTTCATGTGCAAGGAAAGGGGAATGCCATTGATGTCTTTTGTGGCTGACATCCTGAAGGAAATTGAAAATTTGATTCTACCCTTGACATGTCCCGAAGAATCATATTAATTTTTCCAGATACCATCTTATTTCTTACCCTCGATAAGAAACATGGTGCTGCAAAATAGACACATTGGACAACCATCCACCTCTAGAGCCTACCAAAGCCTCAAAAGAAGGATGAAGCATTGAAAGCTTTTAATCTATGATGTCACTGACGCACTTCAATTGGGGCTTGAGTATAGAGTAATGACCTATCTTGATTGGAGGTACGTCCGCTATATGTCTAGGTCTTCTTTCGGGTTCCTACACTTTTCTTCAAACATAAGGCTATTTAAGATACCATGATGCAGCTGTTTGGGAGCAGGTTGGCAGGATGGAAGAGGCAATAATCAATATCCATCAAACGGTGGACGTTGTACCCTTACCAAAAGTACTTTATCCAACTAAACAGCATACTTCATGTCTCTTTTCCCTATTCTAACTTCTGCTAGAGGAGTTTGGAGAAGTTTTAGATGGACTCTATTTGTGGAGGCGTTGCGCGTTTTCAAATAGCACTTGGTAGTTTGCTTTGGTGAAGGAAGTATGGTTGGCCATTAGAAATCTGAGAATCTTTATTCAAACTCTTTGGGAAAATGGCTGTGGATGTTTGGGGAGGAGAGGTAGAACCTCTGAAGGAGAATGGAGGAAAGGAAGTATGCTGGTGAGAGGGAAAATGACAAAAGATGGAGGTCGTCTCTTAAGGGGTGAGGGTGACGAAGAACATCAACCAAGGATGGAAAGATTTTTTGAACCATATTAGGATTGTTGTTGGCTGTGTGTTGGCTTGGTCATTGTTGTGGCGAGGCTTCCTTGCATTGGACTTTTTTTGGGCCTCTTCATCGTGATAGTTGATAGACAGGATACAGTTGTAGACTGTTGTAGGACTTTAGAGAGTAGGGTGGTGAGATTTATGCTTTTTAAAACCTTTTTAGGATTGAGAGTTGGATAGAATAGAGCCTTAGGCATTTTATATGCTCAGGATATTGATGTGGGTGAGGAGGATTCTTTGAATTGGATGGAATAGAAGGGGGAAATTTTCAGGCGAGATCTTACTTTACGATGCTCAATAAAGGGTGAGTCCCATGGGCGCACTAAAGCATGACAGCAAGCACCTTTAAAGGAACCGGTCTGACATAGGAGAGCTGACAAATAATGATAATGAAGATGCCCAACTTTGTATGCAAATAGGAAGAAAACCATTTGATCGGAGTTTCGAAGGGCACATAAACGCCAAAAGTTCACTAATAATAGGAACTGACTTTCCTCTAATCTTCTAATCTTGTGAAAGAAACTAGAGACGCCTGTGGTGCAAGCTCCCGAGAAAGCTTTAATGAACCACGTCTACAAAATGCCATCTTTTAAGGTCTCATCTCACTTTTTTTTTTGATAAATCTTTTAAGGTCTCATCTCACTTGATTGACATCGTTCCCTTAGAAGGTCATTGTACGTACTTTAGCTCCTCCAGTGGTTTTCTTTTTTCATTAGACATGGTGCTTGGGTAAACACTAAGTATTGCCAACTTGCTGAAAAAGGAAATGGTTACTTTTAAGTGGTATTGCAAGTGTGAAAGGGCTGAAACAATTAGTCATTGATGGTTGTGCTGTTGGTTAGGAAAGAATGGATCTGATATTTTGTCTCTTACGGTAGAGAATGTTGAACTCACTTTTTTCTTTTTATTTTTTTTTATCACTGGAAAATCTTTAAGATTGATAAATTATTTTGTATATTTTTGGGTGAGTTGAAACTTGGAACTATAATTTATTGATACCATATGTGTATGAGTCACCTGTTTGGTGCTTTCTAAACAGATTTTTATTTATAAGCGAATTAATGAAGCTGTTCGATAAGATTATAAGGACTAAGAAAATGAGACTAAGGGGAAACGTGGAATGGATGGTGAATGCCTTAATTGTAAAACACATTTATCCTCTGTAGTGTATCCTTTCTTTTCCTTCTCCTGAATTCTCATTAAGTACAATGTGCCTTCCTATTTTGCTCTTTCTTTTTCTGTCAGGTGAAATTTAGTAGTCAATTTTGAACACTACTTGTAGAACTAGAGAAGAGTGAATGGAGAATTGTTTTATAGTACTACGTGACTGACATGTATGATAAAAATTTGATGTCCTATTTTATATAACAATGGTACTGGATGTACCACTTCCTTTATTGGGGGCTGGGGCACCCTGCTTTTGGATTGATACACTATTGCTACTGGTTAAGGAAGGTGCTTGTATGTAGCAAGAGTGAGCTTATGCTCAGCACTGGGACATTATTGCTGGTAATTTTGATATTAATATTCAGGAAATTATGTGCTTATAAACCAACTGTAGCTATGATGACGTTGAGATAGATGAGTGGAAGGAGATATGTCTAAGATGAGATATTTATTGTAAGAACTGAGGAGTTTAGGGTAGCTCCAATTATGGACAAGAGGAAAAACTGGTAGGATAATTTAGCCATAATGCCCATAACCATTGAAGACCCATGACTCCAGTAGAAACTAAGCAAGAGTTTGTTTTTATCATATACATGACGAGTGACGACATGTGAGTGTAGAAACTAAGGTGGACAAGTTTGAGAGTGGATGATGCCTTGAGTAAATTTAGTGATGTAAAATTGGAAGAGCAAGTCAGATGTTTTTATGTGGATGTGGAAGGCTAATCATTAGATGAGCTTGATGCTTGTGGAAGTGCTTCAATCTGGGGACAAGGATAGGCATTGCTGAAGAAGCATAGACGGGGAGAAAATGTTTGATGCTTTATTGAATACTTGCGTGTTGTTTCCCTAAATGATGAAAAAAGATATATTCACAAACCAAATGGTGAAAAGAAGTGTAGGATTTCATGAATTTTATTTATTCTTAGTTTCTTATGGAGAGATCTGACTCTATTTGACGTATTCCTTTAGCTTTCTATTGGCTGGTGTTTTCCAACATTGTACAGAAGTTTTACTGATTTATTTGATGTGAGATTCTTCAAGCTATCGCAAATCATTTGCTCTGGTGTTTAACTGAGGGGAAAAAAATTTAGGGGTGTGTGTGTGTGTTGGGTTGGTGGGTGGGTACATACTGATGTATTTTAAGGCAAAATCTTACAGGTTTTAGGAAACTCATGAATTATTATATTGGTGTCGGAAACTAATCTGATAAATAACCTTTTTCTTTTCTCTGGTGGCAGGTTTTAGATCGTGGTGAGAGGATTGAAATACTGGTGGATAAAACGGAAAACCTTCAGTTCCAGGTATATATTATTTCTCATCTGTTGTTCCGAGTCGGATAGGTATCTTAGGGAGTTTGTCATTGATGTGCTTGTACTTATTTGTTGGACTTCAGGCTGACAGCTTCCAGAGGCAGGGTAGACAACTGCGACGTAAGATGTGGCTACAGAACCTCCAAATGAAGCTGATGGTAGGAGGAGCCATCCTTGTCCTAATTGTCATTCTGTGGCTTATAGCTTGTGGAGGCTTCAAATGTTGATGAGAGTAAACTATACATTCGTATGAGTTGGTTGCTTTCTTATTTGATGTACAAAGAATTACTACGTACATGTTCTTATATTTGAAGACTGACTGCTGAAATTTGAAAACATTGATAATTAAAACCCGTAATGATAATTAAAAGGTTAATAATTTGATATGCATGTTTTAGTATTTCTGATGATCAGTGGTGACTGAATTTTCTGTTTCTAACTTGTTGCACCTCTTCTTCTCCCACCATTAGTTTCCGGATTTCATGTTAGTGGAAAGGACACAGATGTTCTCCGTACTTATTTGCTTTATAAACAAATTGCAATGCCTTTTCTTTTGAAGCAAATGAGTAGTTACCATCTAAGTCATACGGATGGTAGCAAAACATAATTTGAGAGCGGCAAAATCTAAATCACACACTGTGAGAGCATGACTGTGCGCGGAGCAGAAAAAATAATAGCGGAATAATAGAGGAGAAAGTGTGAGAGCGCCACTCATTGAGAATAAAGCCCTGTTTGGTGTTTGTTTTGTAGTGTTTTGAAGGGTTCCAAGCCTGCTATAATAATCCATTTTGAGTCAACAACATGTTTGGCCCGCATTGTTTTGTTCTTAACAGTACCAGAACACTTTCAAAACAAAATCACTATTTGGCCCAAAAGCTGGAACAAGATTTTGGTGTTCTATGTTGTTCTAGCTCAATATTTACTGTAGATAAACAGGCCCTAATCTCATTCATCCATCCCATCGTTCATTTCAGCCTCCCAAACGCCAGCCTCCCAAACGCCACAATCTCTATTCTCGTTCTCTCTCTCTCTGCAACTGCAAATGTATGGGTTTTGTTTTAATTTTTTTTAGGGCAAATCATTTCAGCCTCCCAAACGCCTCCATCTCTATTCTCGCTCTCTCTCTCTCTCTACAACTGCAAACTGTATAGGTTTTGTTTTAATTTTTTTTAGGGCAAATCATTTCAGCCTCCCAAACGCCTCCATCTCTCTCTCTCTCTCTCTCTCTCTCTCTTTCTCTCTCTCTCTCTGCAATTGCAAATGTATGGGTTTTGTTTTAATTTTTTTTAGGGCAAATCATTTTAGCCTCCGAAACGCCTCCATCTCTATTCTTGCTCTCTCTCTCTGCAACTGCAAACTGTGTGGGTTTTGTTTTAATTTTTTTTTAGGGCAAATCATTTCAGCCTCCCAAACGCCTCCATCTCTATTCTCGTTCTCTCTCTATGCAACTGCAAACTGTGTGGGTTTTGTTTTAAATTTTTTTTAGGGCAAATCAATTTAGCCTCCCAAACGCTTCCATCTCTATTCTCGTTCTCAACTTTGCAAATCCATTTTTAGGGCAAATCATTTCAGCCTTCCAATTGCCCTAGTCTCTCTCTCTCTCTCTCTGCAACTACAACTACAACTGCAAACTACAAAATCTACAAGCTTCAGCCGTTCACAAGCTTCAGCCGCTCTCTCAACTCTCAAGCTTGCCCCTTCTCTCTCTCTGCAACCGCTAACCTGTGTGTATGGGTTTTGATTTAATTTTTTTTTTTTCTAAATCAACTAATCAAGCTCTCTAATTCTTGTTTTACAAATTAGTCAAGCTCTGTAATTAATTTATTTTAATCATCAAAAAAAATAATAATAATTTGTATTCCAAAATTCTCACTCCAAATTTTCGTCACAAACATGTTTTGTTCTCATTTCAGAACACTACATTACAAAACACTTGTTCTGTTCTAGGCTACAGCATTACACTACACCGCATAACACTTCCCAAATGGGCCCTAATTGTATGACTTTAGTTATCTTTAAATGCAAGGAAATGAAATGTAATGGTAATAACTATTTTAATGTTTGATTGGACTAATTTAAAATTAAAAAATAAAATAAATTTTAATAAATTTTCCAAAATATCCATTTTAGTAACAAATAAATCAAATTAACAAAATAGTATTCTTCTATCATTTTTTAAAATATATATATGAATAAAATGATTATTCTTATTTTGTATCTTAATTGCAAATATGAAATGTATACGAATAAAATGATAATAACAAAATATCTGTTTTGTATGTTTAGTTTCCAATATGAACAAGATGGATCCGCGTAAAAAATGCGACTCTAGCTTGTTTGATTTATTTCAAAAATTAGTGATTAGCATAAATTCATTCTTTCAAACAAGATTCATATACCATGGTCCAGTGATTAGCGATATTTTCATTTCATTAAATTATAATTCAGTACAACCCATCAATCTACTTAGTTTCTGGATCTATGTACCATAAAGGAAACCGGAACAAAACCTAATATCACTACTATTACTAACCCACCAGTCTTTAATTGAAGCACACTAAACTAATTAAACCTAATAAAAATCTTTAATGCAAAAATTACCAGAGATATGTGTACCTGAAAGAGCACAATGTAATGAATTGGTTACTGTTCTTACCAAGGGTAGGAATGGATTATATTGATACCCAAACATGGATTTGGGACCAATTTTTCTGCTTCTGCTCATTGGAACTGCAGCAATTCCATTACTACCCTTGGTAAGAACAGTAATTATGGATTAAATTGATACCCAAACATGGATTTGGGACCAATTTTTCTGCTTCTGCTCATTGGAACTACAGCAATTCCATTACTACCCTTGGTAAGAACAGTAATTGCCATGCTAAACCCACCAAACCCTAAAAATACATAAACCCAGAATTTCACTCCACAGTCTCCACCGCCACAACAGCCAAACCCTAAAAATACATAAACCCAGAATTTCACTCCACTGTCTCCACCGCCACAACAACCAAACCCTAAAAATCAGATTCGAAAAGCACCCAGCCCCAGAATTTCACTCCACCACCGCAACGACCAACATGGAGAACCTTTTGAGGGGTAGGAGGCTTCGTCTTATCGTTATGTTATCCGTTGTTATGGCTCAGCAATTAGAGATCTCAAACTTCTCCAGATTCACCATCGTCTTACTGAACTTGGGGTACATTGTTCTCACGATTTGGGATAAATATTTGCTCGGACAAAGGAGTTTTGGTGAGGTCACCGGCGGCGATTGTTCCTATGTTGTCCCTGCGACATTGCTGGTGATTTGGATGTTGTTCGACGACAAGTCACTGCTATTACAAGATCTGATGATTGTTGCAAGCCACTTATCACACTATTACCTAACACCATTCGGGTACAGATTCGATTGTGCCGCACACGGCGTGGTTACTCTAATTGTCGTCGGCTATGATGGGAATCATATGACCTTTGGCTGCCCTCAATGCTTCCGCCAGTATGATGGGAATCATATGAGGTTTGGCTGCCCTCTATGCTACCCCCAGTAGGAGTCAAGAGGAAGAAGGGGTAAGTGAATCCCCATTTTAGGTTTTATGGTATATATAGACCGAGAAATTGATTGATTGTACAGAAGATGAATTTGTTCTGCATTAGGTCTTGGTGTAATGAATTGCTTTTGATAGCAGATGCAAATGAATTTGGGGCTCATCACTTTCAATTTAAGACTTTATTGCAACATCAATTTCGAATTTTGTGAGAATGTAATGGCAATGGTAAGAATAGTGACTGTGGAGAGGCAGAGAGTGGCAGGAGGTTAGCATTGGAATTTTACATATGGTGAAGAAGTAGTCCCTTTGTAAACACAAATAGAGTTTAATTTCTGTTAGGAAACTTGCACTTGGCTGTTGGTGAGTAGACTTTTATGCTAGGATGGAACATTCAGTACCAATTTGGGGTTCGGATTGGACCGAGTATTTTGGAACCGAACCGGTCCCAATGAATCTATAGAAATAATCTTTAATATAGAATATTAATTATATATATATATATATAGATAGAAAGTTCATATCATATCATATCAGGTTTTAAAATCTTGCTGAGTTCTCTAGCTTCTTCGTCCTCAATTTTTCACTTTCATTCACCAAACTCTAAATCTTCTACTCGAAATAAATGAAGAGATATCACTTGAGCTAAAACCTCGTAATAGATCAAAAATATTGAATTTGTAGATAATGTTGAGTATCTAGTTAATCAAATAGTCTCATTATTATTTACGTAGTATTCCTTTTCTTAATAAAAAATTGACTTGGTGATAATGTGGTGGTTAGTAGAGTTTTTTCACTGTTCTTTTCCTGAAAAGCCTCCAATGCTTCTTTATTTTCCCTCTCCCAAAAAGCCTCCAATTTTGAAACATTGATAACTTTTAGTAGTTGGCACAATCGTTTATTTAATGAGCATACGAATAACTAAGCTTCTCTATGATAAAAAGGTAACTAATGCAACTAATTAACACTAATTAATAATATTTAACGTTAAATAACTTATTGTATTTCGGTCGATGCCCAAGTGCAAGTGATTTTTATTATTTGTCATAATAATTTTTTCCAACATAACTAAGCTTGTCTATGAAAATAATGCAATTAATTAAAACTAATTAATGACATTTAAAGGCAAATAACCTAATTAACGGCATTTCTAACGAATGAGAATAACGAAGCTTGAGTATGGTAACTAATGCAACTAATTGAAGTTTCAATAAAGTTTCATAATTCATGCACAATTGGCTTTGGAATTTTTGTTAATTAATTATATAAATTGAATAGTGTTCAATTATTTATAAAAATACATCCATCCTTCCTCCACTAGTTTTTAAGATTTTGGTCTTTCTGTTAATTGCATAAAAGAAAATTTGACTAATTTATAGAAAAAGTGTTCTATCGTAGTGAACAATTATTATAGATTATTCACGCCAATTTATATGGCACATGTCCTGTACTAATAATTAGTGGTCATCGTTATTTTGTAACTTTTATTGATGGCTTTTCATATTATTATATTTTCCTATCATATGAAAAAGGTAACTAATGCAACTAATTAACGACATTGGCAAATAACTAATTAACAATATTTCGAACAAGAAAAAAAACGTAACTAATGCAACTAATTAACTATATTTAACGGCAAATAACTAATTAACGACATTTCTTTTAACAAAAAGAACTAAGCTCATGCCTGATAAAGAGTAACTAATAAACTAATTAATAAAAATAAGTAATTAACGATATTTCTCTTAATGAAAAATAAATAATTATTAAGTTCATGAATGATAGAAAGTAATTAAGGCAACTATTTAGTGATATTTAACAATGGATAAATAATTAACGACATCTCAACAAAAAATAACTAATTAACTATATCACATACTTAACGATATCACCTAACGTAAATTAATTGTAAAAATAAATTTGTCAACAATTGATGTGATTGTGAACCATGATAGTCTTTTTTCTTTTATTTTTATTCTTATTTTATTTTTATTTTCATGGATATGATGCAATTATTGAATTCTATTTATGAAAGGAAAAAACACTCACAAATCACACTCACTCCCAACAATGTTGAAGTTGTTTGTTCCTTTGCTTAATATGTAAACATATATATGGGTGTACGTGTTTGTTTTTGCTGTAGTGGTTAATTGTGTATGTATCTAGCATATACATATGCATAAAGATAATGTTAATTATTTTCGGGTAGTGGGACCAAAACAAAAAGGTCAAGTTTAACTAGGTTCTTCAAATAATATAAGAAAACATAACATTGTAAATTCTAAACTTAAAGAAGAAGTATGAACCTCTCATATTCTATAAAGGGATTTAAATATCAACAGATTCGTAGTCTAGCGGTATTAGATTCCTACTTTTCAAAAAGAGATAAGGCCGTGAAGACATGTATGTATAGATATCAACTAGGAAAAAAAATATAAAGGGATATAAATTATATATTATTTTTGTTTTTGTTACACCCAATATTCTAAGAACAACAAACTCATAAATGCATTCAATGCTTCCCATAACAAGAACCTCTCTTGCGATTGCATATAATCTTTGAGACTTAATTGTCAATATAGTTTGATACCAAAGTCTCACCAAAGACACAAAACCATAAACCTAGAACTTGACTTTCACAACCTTATCACTTCTTTAACTACCAAAAATAAAAAATAAAAAAAACCTTATTACTTGTTTCTTGGTTCTTCTTATGCTTCCTCACTTTGATCCTCCTCCTCCTCTTCTTCCTCTTCTTTGTGAGCAGAGTTCAACTTCAAGCATCCATTTTCCCTCGAACCACGCAGAAATCCTTGGGGAGGAATCTTTATCTCCTCGCGAACAAGCCGACCAATTTCCTCATTAAATTTGAAGTAAGAAAAAGGCTTGCCAGTCTTGAATAGTTTCAAGAAAGAAACAGGAGGTGGAAACAATCTTTCTTTGCTTGTCGATGAGCTCTTCTTCCTCTTCTTGTGATGGTTGGCATCACAATTGAGATTTTGGATGTTGGTTAGATATTCAAGAGTAGGATCAGGCAGAGAAGATGCTAATGATGATGAGGATGGAAATGGAAATGGAGATGGAGGGAAAAGGGAGTGTAGGGGAAATGGAGGACTCATGACCTCTTTAAAATAGAGCTCCCCAAACATCTCAGTGACATAAGGATCCTCATAGGAATTTCCCATTCCATTGTTTGGCTGTTGCTGGGATGATTGGTGATTCAAGACTTCTAAAAGGCTAGAGAAATTGTAATTTGCCATGGCTTGGCTCATGAAAAGTGTGGCTAGATCACCAGGAGATACTTGTATGTGTGAATATGTGTGTGTATATATAGATAAATAGAGAGAGATGTAAAAGAATTATACAGATAAGAACTCACCATGGGCATGCATTTTGTTTTTTGCATTCACACTTGAAGGTTTTGAACTTTGCTATCTCACATATGACAACAACTTTCTCACATTTATTTTGTGTAACTTCCCCTGAAAGTATATTTGTCTTATGCGATTGTTGACATGGCAGTTCAATCAGTAAAGCAGGTGGTAATGATTACATCTCCATCTATTATATAGTATGTCAAAGCAATGCCAACAAAGATTACCATTTAAAAAGTGTGAAGTAATTTAAGAACATCAATCAAGTATTATAAAGGTGTCCAAAAAAAAAAAAAAAAAAAAAACTGAATATTACATTCTGTTAATTAGATGAGGGCAAAATTTGAAATTTAAATTGAGACAATGATTTATTATTATTATTATTTTTTTTTTCAAGTATAATTCAATCACCCTTTTGTTGACGACAATTTCATTTTAATTATAAGAGTCATTTTTCACCATGTCTACCTGATACTGAATAAGAATTGAGTGTGGCACTGATACCAATTGTAACGGACTGAGTGTTTTATGATCCAAACAAAAAAACTTAAGTTATTAAGTGGTGTTAACATTCAACCCATATATATCCATACGCATTCTCATCTGAATCCAATATGAATTAAACACCAATTAACTTCTAACACCAATTCAGGATAACTGGATAAGTGACCCTAAAAAATTTGTCTTGACAACAAAAAGAAAGAGAGGTTTTAAGTTTTAAAAATTTATTTAATTAACTTGATCTCTATTATTTATTTTTTTACTTTCTGTGTTTTTTTTTTTTTTGGAGCTTGGCAAGGACCCACTCTATTTCTAACGAATACTTGAACCCTCTGACTTTCTTTGAAACTCTTGGTGTTTAACTTCTCTATGATTTTTGAATCGATTTTTATAGATTAGTGGAATTGGTCCTTTACATATGTATGTTACACTGATAGTGCACTTGTTAAGTTTCATTTTGTATCTTTCCATCTTGATGAATAATAGTTTCACTAGCTCTACAGACTAATAGAGTGAAGACTGAACCAAAATGAGCTCAATCAAATGTACATTAACTATCTAATTCATATTAGTTTATTTCTTTAATAATTCAAAATCCTAGCAACAACACTACAATACCAGGGCAACTTTTTTACCAAAAAAACAAAAACTTTTTCTATTTGTTATTTAAATTAAATTTTATTTTTCTTTGTCTCTTTTGAAGGTTGACCTAACTTTTTGGACTTCGTCGTATTAATTGCTTTGAGGGTACTCCCTTGTTCTATATTAGTAATTCATTTTTTTTGTTTTAAGGTATTCTAAATTAGTTATTCATTTTCAAAATTCAAACAAATTAAATGTAATATTTTCATAATTACTCTTCTAGTTTTTTTTTTTTTTTTAAAAAAAATAAACTTGATGTTTTATATTTTTAAAATTTAACGGGCAACTTAATAATTTAAAAAGAGGGACAATACATTAATTGCATGTCCCCTTCAAAAATTATAATATCAAAGATGAGCAACTAAAGTAATATTTAGACTTGAATTTTAATACAGCCATAATGGATATCAATTAATGAAATCAACACATTAATTGAAAAGAGATACCATAAGAATAAGTAGATACAGCCACACTATCTACCATATATATATACCATTAATTAAATATAAAGCTGCACTATCTCTCTCTCTCTCTATATATATATATATTTTTTTAAAAGTAGATAAAAAAAAAAATTGTAGATAGTGCAGCTTTATATTTAATTATTTTATTTTATTATAAATTTACAACATGCATATTTGTATTATTTATAAGGGTGTGAAATATACATGTGTGTGTGTGTATATATACATATGTTACTGTCAGGGCCGCTTAATATAATTTGAGGCCTTAGGTGAAAAAATATATAAGTGGTCTTTTAATATGTATTATATTAATATCAAATATATATATTTAAAAATCAACCTTTGCTTTTTTGAGATGAATTGGATTATTGAATTCAAGTTTTATTAAAGTATTTTTTCAATAAATAATATGACTAATTAATTTAATCTTTTTTATTTTATTTTATTTCATAAAGATTTTTCTTAGCACACATTTGATTATCATTATGAATCAACTCAGTAATATGTTTTTCTTTCACTATTATATAATATTCTAATTATTTTAGATGACTTGATTGTTCATTTGTTGTTCTTTAAAAAGATTTTTTTGTTATGTTTTGATTATTTGTTGAATTTTCACCTAAATTTTTTGTTACGAAAAGTTTTACCAATTCCTACAATGGTTAAATATATATTCAATAATTTATATATATATATATATATATATATATATATATATATATATATATATATATATTCAATAATTACGCCTCGCGGGATCTATGGGTGGGATGAAGAGATAGTGAAAACAAAGAGTGAGATAAGTATATAAACTTTTTAAATTTATATTGGTTGGGGTTTAATAATAAAAGAAAATAAAAATTTCAGAGAGATTATAATATAAGAAAATAAAAAATTTTGGAACCTTTCTATTAGATAGGATGAAGGAAATAAATCTTTAGCAAGATTATAATATAAGAAAATAAAAATTTTTAAAGTCTTCCTATTAGTTGTGGGGCTAATACTAGAAGGAAATAAAATTTTAGGAAAAATTTGGGGCGCCGGTATTCCCATTGGATGGGGCCTTCGACAACTGCCTAAAGCTCCAGTCGGCCCTGTAATTTCCTATCTTAAGATAGGTTTGTTCAAAAATGGTGCTAGCCAAACTGATTGAAGTTAAATCATCACAAAAGTGTGTGAGTCGTGGCTCACACAGGGGCACCTCAATATAATTTAGGGATAATTACAGAAACATGGACTTTTGGAAGTCTTTTTATAGAGTGATGGAGTAAAAGACAACATTTTTCGCAGTTATGGATTTTGCTAAAAGTCTGAGGTACGTGGACATAGAAAAATATTATTAATTTTCCTAAACTATCCTTAATATATCTAGATACTACTTTTGTGCAGGTATGTACCACTTTTGTGCACTGTGATGATCCAAATCCGTTGGATCAGAATTGTTAACCTAGTCCTTACTTGAACCCGATGACATGCAAGGGTACTATAGTCATTTCACCTTAAATTAACACTTTAGGGCCCAATGAGGGCAAAATAGTCATTTAACTCAATTATAATGGTTTAAGACCCAAAAGGGGTAAAACAATCATTTACCAAGGACATCCTATGATTAGGATGAAGTTCGGGAGTAATATAATCGGATGTGTAGTTAAAACATAATAATTGTATTTTTACTGGGCCACGTGGTAAATACTAGTAATAATAAATAAGTGATAAAGGGTAAAAAGGAGAAAATAAATCATAATTGTATACAGCAGGAACTGGTCGATGTGTGGACATACTTTGGGCATTCGATCAACGTGTGAATAATTCATGTTGACCGATATGGGTCATTAATAGTGAAATTGCTCACTGCCCAAAATTGTGAGATACTAACACGTCGACTGAAACTCCCCAAACCTCTATTTATTTGTTTCTTTTATTACTCAATCAATTCCACTCAACCACTACAATTCACAACCACTAAAACTACCACCGATACACTATAAAATGCCACTCAAACACCATATATATATATATATATATATATATATATATATATATATATATATATATGTATATTAATACCCCAAACAACAAAACAACGTTAACATGATCAGCGTTAACATAATCGTTTACATACGTACTAAAATAGAATTATTACATTTACCATACCAAAGACTATTATTATAATATTAATATAACACTTTGTAAAAATTACATACCCAAAATAATAAAAATTACATTGCCATTAGAATGAATTAAAATTTCAACATGATTGAACTCAAAAACACTACAAATAATGAGGACTACAATGACATCAAATATCATTTCCGAAATAGTCTACAATGGTTAAGATGAATAGTCCATTCCGTCTCTTTTGAGTCCTGAAATGTTTAAGATAAAGGGGTGAGCACCACCGCTTAAGAATGTCTAAATAGCGTTTCCTCAAGTCAAGTAGGAATGACAGGTACATAACACATAGGAGCAAAGTAAGATAAACCCACAATCATCTCAATTAGTCACGTACATACAATATGAAATGAATAACATAGCACATATAATCTTCCAATCTAGCATTATTATTAACATAATCATCATGCTTTGCAACATGTAAAAGAGTATTAACTTCAATTTAAACAACAATTAAGCAGATAAAGATCATGGTGAAACCCTAGAACCCAAATCTATCCAAGTTACACTAAACTAAACATGCTTTCAAGGGGAAAACAAGATATTTTTTTATCACAATCTAGGACTATACAATTTAAGCAAAACCGTACCTCAAAGATGCAAAGCCTAGCTGAATTTCTCCAAGGTTGAAACTCCTCCAATTTGAAGTCTACCACTGTCAATGTGAAGAGGAATGTGTGGGGAACAAAGTTTCCTCTTGAAGACATCATATCTCAAAATCCACCCTCTTGGCAAGACCCGATCGAAAATTCAAAGTGGTCAAATGGTGAAGATCTTGGCATCAATGGAAAGTTCTTAAGATGTAATTTCAATCTCTCTTTTATCACTATGTCAAAATCACATTAAGAATGACTCAAAATCAAGCTTTAAGCATGTAAAAATTAAATCAAGCTTTAAGCATGTAAAAATTAATGGAGTGAAAAAGAAAGAAGAGAGAGAAAGAGAGAGAGAGAGAGCGCCCGCGATGGAAAATTGGGAAAATGAAGTGCCGAAATATATATGATATTGTGCCTTTAGCCACAAGTTTGATCAAGGTGGGACCCACTCTAAGTATCAAAGTCCAAAAATACCCTCTTTACAACCATTAACTACCATTGTGCCATGAAAATATCTACCCCCATATATATATATGTGCGCGCGCGGATAATGTTTAGCTACTCACTGGTGAGTAGAGTGAAGCTACTCTCCTATGTGATCCAATAATAAAATAACACATCACATTTAATAATAAAATAATTCACACCTAAAAACACTATATACGTTTATTTAATGGTTGATCCGAAAAAAGAAAGGTGTGGATTATTTTATTATTAAAGGTGATGTGTTATTTTGTTATTGGATCACATAAGGGTCAGTAGCTTCACCCTACTCATCGGTGAGTAGTTAAGTATTGTCCTGTACACACACACACAAATATATATAATTGCATCAAATAGTTTAAATAAATGAGTGAAAGAAATTTGAAAAAATTTCCAAGATCAAAAATCCGGGCATGGGGCCCCACACGGGATTTCTTAGCCCAAAAATTAGAAAATGCTAAAGTGAACCCAATTACATTTTCAAGAGCTATAAACTCAAAGAAATGTCCCAAACGATTACCGAAATTCATGTGGCACACAAAACGGAGCACGATACGCAAAATGATGCACCGAGAAAAATAAAAAATCCGAAATTTTTGAAAAAAATCTAGGACGCCATATAAATGTCAAGGCCTCCAACAGGGTTTGTCCAGAAGATATGTATGTTGAAGAGGGTAGCTTGAATCAGTTGAAGTCTCCCCTCTAGCTGTCTAATTTGTCACCTTTGATAGCATGCTAATTATGAGTGATTGGCAATCACTAGTTGTTAGTGTATATATATATATTAAATTAATTAAAGTTAGCCAAGGTATTTAATTAGGAGGGTACCACATGAAAACTAAAATAGGCTGCAAATTGCATTTTGTATGCACGTGGTACCCCACAAAAGAAAAGATATCTCTTGTTTGGATTAGGGGAGAGACAAGAGAGCATGCTAAAGGTATTCATGGACTTTCAATAGTCTGGGAAGACCTGAAATCACAATTACAAAACATAAGGATGTCAGCTCACCATTGACAGATATAGAGAAAAAGGCAGTACAGATACAAGATCCGATCCAATAAATGAAAATGGAGGCCTTAGCTCATGAACATCAGGAATGAATTACCGATGGAAGCAGTCATATGCTTCATGAAGGTCGACTTTGAGTGTGCATCTAGGAGGGTGGATGTCCTTATGATACCCTCTTAACAGTTCTTGAGCTAATATGATATTGTCCCCAATTTTCCTACAATTCACAAAGGCACTTTGTGCCTTGTCAATAATGGTAGGCATAATGGGCATTAACTTGTTAGAATTAAGTTTTGAAATGCATTTATATGTGACACTACAAGAAGATATAGGTCTGTTATATGAGGATGAGGTGGGATTAGGAACCTTTAGGATTAAAGCTAAGTAGCATTGACCTCATCAGGATAAAAAAAATTTATTGTAAGAGTAATATCATTACCAACAATAGGCCATGCTCTTTTGAAAAAAGAAAGAATTATATCCATCAGGTCTAGGAAATTTCTTGTACTTAACAGAAAACAAGCAATTCCTAATCTCTGTGTGATCAGTTGGGATAGAGCTTAGATTTGTAATAAAATTTTCATCAAACTCTCTTTGAAACAAAATGGGATAGAGAAGTCATACCAGAGTAGCAATAAGGATTACTAAATATGAGATACTTGAAGAAAGCTGTGAAGGTGTGTTTAATATCCTCTTAACTTATATACTAATTAGTCCATACCCAAATGCATCTATTATGTATGAAAAAAAAAAGTAACTAACATTTGAAAAAAAAAAAAAAAAGAGTAACTAATGCTACTAATTAACCACATTTCTCTTAACGAAGGAGAATAATCAAGTTTGGAAATGAAAAAAAAAAAAAAGAGTAACTAATGCTACTAATTAACCACATTTCTCTTAACGAAGGAGAATAATCAAGCTTGGAAATGAAAAAAAAAAAAAAAAAAAGTAATTAATGCAACTAATTAACCACATTTAACTGCAAATAACTAATTAACGACATTTCTCTTAACAAAAATAACTAAGTTTATGCATGATATTAATAAACTAAGTAAAATAACTAATTAACGGTATTTCTCTTAATGAAAAATAACTAATTATTAAGCTCGTGCATGATAGAAAGTAATTAATGCATCTAATTAACGACATTTGACAATGGATAAATAATTAACGACATTTCTTAACAAAAAATAACTAAATAACGATATCACCTAGTGGTCAGTAACTGATTGTCAAAATAAACTTGCCAACGGCTGACGTGGTTGTCAAGCATGATTATTCATTGTTTTTTTCCTCTTATTTTTATTTTGTTTTATTTTTTATATTTCATATAAAGTTGGTGGAAAGAAAGGAAAAAGCTCACAAATCATGATTGTAATTACTTCACAAACAATCCCAGCAATGTTGAAGTTGTTTGTTCGTTTGCTTAACAACATATGTTAGCATATACATGTGTATATGTTTTTGCTTGTGCTAGCTTGTGTATATATCTATGCATATACATATAGAAAATGTTGAATTCAAATTATTTTCGAGTAGCTAGCTGGATCAAAACATAAAGGTCAAGTATTACTAGGTTCTCCATATATATATATAAGAAAACATAACATTACAAATTAAGTCCAAACATAAAGGTCAAGTATGCACCTCTCATTTTACTCTCTCTCTCTTTTTGACACCCAATATTCTAAGAACAACAAACTCATAAATGAATTCCATGCTTCCCAATACAAGAACATCGATCTCTTGTGATTGCATGGAATCTTTGAGACTTAATTGTCTAGTTTGATAGCAAAGTCTCATCAAAGACAAAATCATAAACCTAGAACTTGACTTTCACAATCTTATCACTTGTTTCTTGTTCTTCTTATGCTTCCACACTTTCATCCTCCTCCTGATCCTCCTCCTCCTCATCTTCCACCTTTTTGTGAGCAAAGTTCAACTTCAAGCATCCATTTTCCCTCGAACCACGCAGAAATCCTTTGGGAGGAATCTTTATCTCCTTGCGAACAAATCTGCAAGTTTTCTCATTAAATTTGAAGTAAACAAAAGCCTTACCAGTCTTAAACAGTTTAAAGTGAGAAACTGGTGGAGGAAACAATCTTTCTTTGCTTGTCCATGAACTCGGTTTGCCATACGAACAATTATCGTTCGCTGAGCCCCAATGCTCCTCATTTCTCTTCTTCTTCATCTCATGGTTGGCATCACCATTGAGGTTTTGGACGTTGGTTTGATACTCAAGAGTAGGATCAGGCAGAGAAGATGGTAATGACGATGAGGATGGAAACGGAAATGGAGATGAAGGGAAAAGGTAGTGTAGGGGAAATGGAGGACTGGCCTCTTTAAAATAGAGCTCCCCAAACATCTCAGTGACATAAGGGTCCTCATAGGAATTTCCCATTCCATTGTTTGGCTGCGAGTTCTGGGATGATTGGTGGTTCAAGACTTCTATGAGGCTAGAGAAATTGTAAGCTGCCATGGCTTGGCTCATGAAAGTGTTGTTAGAGCACTAGGAGATATATACTTGTATGTGTGTGTATATATAGAGAGGGAGAGAGAGAAAGTGGTAAAAGAATCGTACAGCTAAGAAATGTCTTACCATGGGCATGCATTTCTCGTTCATACTACAGTTATCAGTTTTTGTTATAACATTACTTTCGCGGATTGATTTTTGTAACTTCCACTGGAAATATTTATATATTTTGTCTTCTGCGATTGTTGACGTGGAAGTTCAATCAGGAAAGCAAATAGTAATGATTACATTCCCAAATATTTTATTTTTTTCAAAGCAATGCCAACGAAGCATTATTTATCATTTAAAAGTGTGAATTAATTTAAGAACATCGATTAAGTATTATAAAAAATAAAAATAAAATAAAAAAGTATTATATACTTTTAATTAGGTGAGGACAAATTTTGAAATTTAAAATGGGATTGTCTATTTTCATGTATAATCCAACCACCCTCTGAGGCCTCAGTTAGTAATTTGACCCGATTTCAGTAGAAATAATTGACCCTAAAAATTTTGTCTTGAAGAGAAAAAATTAGAGAAGTCTTGAGATTTTGCTAATCTCTCGTGTTGTGATTGTATTGCAATTTTTGGCAACAAAAAGAATGAAAAGTTATAAGTTTTGCCTTGTAGCCAAAAAAAAATAATAAAAAAAAAAATTTAATTAACTTAATTTTTATGAGTTATATATATATATATATATATATATATATATATATATATATATATTCTCTTTTAATAGCCTTTTTGGTTGGTTGACCTACTTTTTAGACTTTGTCGTATTAATTGCTTTGGGGTATAATCTCTAATATATACTACCTCTGTCCCTAAATAGAAGTCCATGTTTAGAAATTAGAGTTTTTAAGGGGACATGCAATTAATGCATTGTCCCCTTTTAAAATTATCAAATTGTTCTTTTTAATTTAAATATATATAATTAAAAAGTTTGAAATTTTAAAAAAAGATAAAAGGATAATGATAGAAATATAATGAAAAGATGCTTTGACCTTTCAAAAAGGATAATTAATTTGAGACATGTAAAAAGAAAAAAATGTACTACTAATTAGAGACGAAGGGAGTATTTAAACTTTAAATTTCAATACAGTGATATCAATTAATGAAGAGAGGAGTAGATATTCGCCCCCACTTCCTTTTAACCAAATATAATTTATTTTGAAGTGAAATGACATAAATATGGGTAACTCTAATTAATTATATTAGGAGAATGTTTGACATTTACATTTATAAATATATAAATAAATGGAGTGCATTTAAATATAGAGAGTGCATTTATCATCTCCTTTAATGAAACCAACACATTAATTGAAAACAGTTGAGATAAGTGTAAATAGGCAATGGTAGGTTTAAGATTTCAGAAACCATTAATTTAAAAGGCCTTGGCATCTTTGTAATTTATAATGGCAAAAAGTATAGATATATATATATATACACACGCGTGTGTGTGTGAGTGTGTGTTTATCTGATAGAATGTCCATTGGGCCTAGTGGAATCATCACAAGAATAGATGACTCGTTGTGGCGCTCGCGCAATTAGGGAGTGGTCGATTTGGGCCGAATTGGCCCAGAAAACACTGTTCGAGTGTCCCTCTGGAAATTGGTAATGGCGGGAATTCCAATTGTGCAATGTAATTAAATTCCATCAAATGCCTTTCAAAGTTGACCATTATGTAATTAATGAAATAAACATTATAATTGAGTTGGAGTTTAAGTTAAGATTAATATTGCGTTTGGTTGAAAGAATATAAAAATTATTCTTTACTTTCCAACCAAACAAATAATATGTGTTATTATCTATCATTTCCACTATCCTTTCTTCATCCATCCATCCCCTCTCCCTTCTTCTCATTTTTCCATCCTCCAACCAAACAAAACATAAGAGTAGACATCCGATTTGTGGTTATAATGATTCCAGTAATTACATTAGTTCTAGATATTAGATAAATGACAAAAATTGTAAACTTAACAAATGAAGAAAGCAATTTTGCTCTTTAAGTAGTAAAACAATCAATTAACATTCTTTTTTTCGTCAATTGAATAGTGGTTTGAATAAACAATTATGTTGATTTATGTAAATTATATTTTAGAAAAAAAGAGCGATTTATAGAGTAGGATGGTAGGTGGCGGTTTGGGTCGGGGGGACGCCATCTCCATCTCCATTCCCGTTTAGCATAGCTGCCCCCATCCTCGTTCAAAATTCTTATTAAAGAGGCGGGATAAGAATGGATTGTATAGAGTACTTTCGTAATTATATTACGAATCTAATGAAAGTAAATAAATAAACAAATTAATTTTCAACAATGGTAATAAAAAAATTTCTCTTATGCATGTAAAAACAATATTCAACTTCTCAATTGGAACTAAAAACTTAATATTATGGATGAAGTGCATTAAACTCCCCCTTTCTCTATTTGTGTTTTGCACTAAATAGATGTCTTATAGGAAAGAAAAAAAAAACTTTAAAAAAATAAAAATAAAAAATTTGAGGAATAAAAATAAATAGGGAAAACTTTTAGGCATAATTTCCCGTTGTAAAAGATGACCTTATTTAACAAATCTGTATAAAATGAAAATCAATAAAAACCAAAGAAATGAATGCACAATATAATTCTAAAAAATAATAATAATAATAAGCAGATAAATTTCAAGGAAAAACCCAGATTCATATAGGTCTGAAGGTTTGTTCAAAATGTAAATGTAGTGTTAATAATAATTAATGGTACATATTATATAAAATATTATATATATATATATATATAACGAGCTGAGAAAGAAGATGCGTAGTGTTGCAGTAATGATAGAGAATATGTCGCTAAGAGTGATAATAGAGTAAATATATATGTGAGGTATAAAATAGGTAGGGATCATTTTCGTTTAAAAAATATATGAAAAACTTAATGTCCAAATAGTTTCCTTTCAGTTAACGTCCATCAGTTAAGTTATTCCCCTCGTATGGTTGAGGGGGATTTTTTTGGTAAAAAAAAATAAAAAAGTGTGGTTTAGTACAAAACACAAATAGAAAAGTAGAGTTTAATGCACTTCACCTAAATGTTATTTTAGGAACATCAAATAAATTATGATTTGAAAAGCTCTCAAATAAGAATAATGAAAATGATATTTTTAGTGATTGACATAGAATAAATTAGAATTTGTTTAATACATAATTAATATTATTGAATATAAAAATAAAAAAATAAGGACACAATTATAATTTATCATTATAAAAGGAGGCGAGATATGGTGACATTTCCTCATCCCCACCCCATACACACATGCTGGGTTTCAATGTTAAACCCATTTCATCCCAAAACCATTTAATCACCCTATAACCGTTTAAAATGGGCAAAGTGGGGCGGAAACCCAATGGGGCAAGGTATTTTGCCATCTATAATTGAGAAGTATGCAAAATTCTAAAAAAAAAAAAAAAAAAAAAAAAAAGGGAAGGGGGGGGGGGGGGGGGGATGTGCTTTTTTTTTTTTTTTTTTTTTAAATTCTAAACTTGAAAAAGGAAATTGAAAATTTTAAACATATTTGTTGAAAAAAAACATTAATTATTTTTCTTTTTCTTTTGTTTATGAAAAAAAAAAAAAAAAAAAATTTATATTTCTTTCTTCGAGTTTTACGTTACCCTGAACAGGAATAAAGATATCCGGGATTCTTCCATCCCAATACAGTCACCCAAACACTAGCTTAAATATTTCCTCAAACCCTAGTTTTCTGAATCCTACACACATATATAGATGCGCACACTAAACTCTCCCTTTGGCGCTGCGGTGATATTTGCTAGTTCTCAACACACAGAAACCCTAGAAATCTTCAACAAGAGATCTCATGGTGAGACAAATCAAGTCTTTTAAGCAAAACTTTTTCTGTTTCCGGTTTTTGTTTTTGACCTTTTGAAAATACTTTCTTCTTGTCATTAGGCGCCGAAGAAGGAGAAGGCACCTCCACCGTCGTCAAAGCCCGCCAAATCTGGCGGAGGAAAGCAAAAAAAGAAGGTAAAAAGGAATAATTGAATTGGTAATCAACTGCTATGTTTGGATTTATGATTTGATTTTTACTGTTTATATAATCTAATTTTTGATGTGCTGATTTCCTGCTAATTAGGGTTTTTTCTTTTTCTTTTTTCTTGGACGTAGCGAGTTGATAAAAAAACATTGTTTATATTGAGACCTAGGTTTTAATTTTTTTTCATAATTTTGGGTTTTTTAAATCAGAGCTCGTGATTGGTGATTTATTTATTTATTTCAGTTCAAATTTATTGGGTTACTTGAAAAAGGATAATAGTTTATAGAATTTGTTGCTTCGACCAAATATACACTGTCATATCCTTTCATTTTGTTGATCTGATATGCAATTTATTTGTAAAACTAATTGACTTGGTAATTAAAGTTGTTATTTCAATTTTAGGGCGTCATTGCATAATTGAGTGTCTATAGAGATCGAATTCATTAAGTTTTATTGGTTTGGATTAAGTATTTTCCTTAATCTTGTTTTTGTGAATTTTTGATTTATTTTTATAATTCGCCTGGGGGATTTATTGACATTATTTTTGTTTTCATAGAAAGTAATGGTAGATGTCTCTCTCTTCCCCCCACCCCTCGTCCTCCCAAGTTAGATGGCTTTGTTTGGTGTTTGAAATAGTTATTCTGAAAATGTAGTCAAACATATGAAATTACTTTCAACGAACGTCTCCCCACCACCTTCAAAAGAAAACAGGAGTGTTCAAATTTGTTGGTTCTTTATATCTATGCTCGTGATTCGAGTGATAAGCTCTTTTGTCTTAATTTATTTTCCTACAAGAAAGTAGTTTTTAAGTTTTTTAGTGTTAATAATTCTGCAGAAATGGAGCAAAGGAAAGCAAAAGGAGAAGGTGAATAACATGGTTCTTTTTGACAAGGCAACTTATGATAAGCTTCTTTCTGAAGCTCCAAAGTACAAGCTCATTACTCCTTCGATCTTGTCCGATAGATTGAGGGTACGTTCATAACTTTCCTATTCTTTATTTGTGGCGAGTTTGCTAGATCTCAGTTGTTCTACAATAATGTCCCTTTATTTTTTGAATCCCAAATGTCAGAAAACATAGTCACATACTTTTACATATTGAGTGTATGCATTTTTTGCACTACTGAACTTCTTAGCTTGAGGTTCATTACTGCTTGATAAGCTTAGTAGATAGAGCTCTGATTTTCTCTCTTAGCAAAGTAGATCGGTAAAATCAAGGGCATCAAAGAAAAGTTAACAAAACATAAAATCCATATGGTTTTTTTTTTGTCGATAAGAACTTGTGCAAAGGTCGCTAGTCAAAATGATTTATGAGTGTAGCTGGAAATATGAAACAATAAAATTCTGTTAAAATTTACTCTTTCTGATTGGAATAAAATAAAATTTCATGACAATTGTACATTTATTAAGTTCCCTCTGATATTATTTGATGTTGAATACTTGTATATATATATATATATATATTTTTACCAGTGTAGTTCGAATTTGAAAATTGGAATTACGAATACTCTTTCGTTGAGCTTGAGATGCTTGACCAATAAGTAGAGACATAAGTGGAGGTTGAATTTTTATTGGTATTTTATAAACTTCAACCAATTTCATTTTCATGATTTAGCGGATTCTACTGATATAGACTTGAATGAGAGGTTTATATGTCCAGCAAATGATAAATGCTAAGTAAAGAATGACGTATTTATTTTTTTATGCCCGCATAACACCATTTTTAAAAAGTTTTGTGGATGGTTTTTGTTATTCTTTTTCTGTTCAGGTGAATGGATCGCTTGCTCGGAAAGCAATTAAGGATTTGATGGCAAGAGGTGCAATCAGGATGGTGTCTTCTCATGCTAGCCAACAGATCTATACCAGGGCCACTAATACTTAGGAGACCCTGTTTCTTTTGTTTTATGAGTAGGTGGGATGCCTGCCAATATTATGTTACCTTTCTGTTTAGTGGTTAAACTTTGTTGATGAATATTTTGTTTCCTTGCATTACTAGAATCGTTCATGTTTTTCTGCTTTGCTGAATCAATGTCGTATTTATATACGAATTCATCACTGGAAGTATGTCTTTTGCATTGGCTTTATTTTGTCAAATAACCGTGAGGGATACTTTGATCTCCTGTTTGACAGTCATTTGTGTTTGTTCTGTTGGTTCAATTGTGAAAATCTAGCAGGAAAATTATAATAAAATGCTATGGTTTACTTAAATTCTATAGACCTAACAAGGACCAAATGAATTTGTTTTGAATACTTTTTTTTTAATTAGTTCCCTTTTGAAAAAGAGGGATACTGTTATTTTAAAATAAAATATGTAAATTAGTTTGTGAAGAAGAAAATTTTTAATGGAAAATAATTTGGACAAACATTTTGATTCTTCATATTAAAATATGTGATCAAATCACTCAATTTCCTTTGAAGGTTCATTTCTTTTTCTTTTTTTTTTAACAAATATATATATATATATATATATATTTTGTAACTAGAGAAAAACATTTAGGTTCTTTTCAATAAAAAATCAACAATTTTATTAATAAATGGATTTAAAAATCAACAATTTAATTAATAAACCTTTTATCATTTATACCATTCGATCATCTGACATTTATATTGAACGGATACATTCTACTCAATATGTTTTAATTACCTCCAATATTTCAAATTTTAATTATTTTTTAAATATAATTTCATAAAGAAAATATAAAAACCAAAAAAACAAAAACTGCAAAAACTGACTCTATCTAAATACAAACCCTCCACAAGTATATCGAGAAAATTTATGACTAATTTCATGTGTTTCGTTCACCATATTTTAAAAGGTATAGTTTTGTTAAAAATAATAATAATAATAATTTCATGTGTTTCGTTCACCATATTTTAAAAGGTATAGTTTTGTTAAAAAAACAAAAAAAAATGGTTTAGTTTTGTTTACGTGTGTATAAAAATGGTCCTAGTCAGTCTAACTATTGTGAATATATTTCACGTTTTGTGTGACAATGACCATTTTTTTAAAATTACATGCTAATTCAATTTATATGAAATAAGAGAAGTAATAATTGTAAATTTATAAAAAAGTAGATTCGGTGCTCCAAACCTAGCATTATTTGGTATGAATTTACTCTTATTCTTCTTATTACAAAATTTGGCTCTAATATATTAAATGATTCAACTCTCATAAAACTAACTCAATTCAGTAATTAATTATGAAAAATTCAAAACTCCATCTTAACAGTGAAAGCGCTTGACCAATGATTCCAAATTTTGTTCTTGACAAAAATATCGGCAGCAAATTTACCACAACATAGCACCTTTTTTGGAACAACAAATGTATCAAAATGTGGTCGATACATTTAATTTCAGATCTTCAGAAGGTTAAAATTTACCACAACATACTTTTGAAATAACAATTTCACCAAAATGCTACCTGATAAGACATTTAACTTAGTAACTTCAAAAGGTTAAAATTTACCATAACATAGCACTTACAAAATAACAAATTTACCAAAATGTTACGCGATAAGTTACAACATTTAATTTCAGAACTTCAGAAGGTTGAAATTTATCACGAACATGCATAGCTCTTATAAAAAAAACAAGATTACCAAAATGCCCACCTGATAAGTCATGTTTGATTTCCGAACTTGAGAAGGATGTGTGAGAAAATTGGTTATTCTTGAGGTGCCCTTGATCCCAACACCGGAATGTTCTTACCCTTGATAATTGAGACACGACTTCACTCGATGAAGCCCTAAATCAAACTATTAGGGATCTGCTAGATGATTCCTATTTCGCCATTTTAACATGTATAGGCCATAACTTCACACTACTACTACTACATCTTTTTCCTTTCTATCTCAGCATAAATTAGTCTCAATCTTTCCCATCCCCTGGTATTATCCTCGATTTAAATCATACGCACTTCTTTTAGAATTTTATTGCTAGTCATAATGTTAGTCATGGTACCTTCTAAAAATTTCAATATTGGTATTATTGCATTCTCGTAGTAGCCCGTGTCATCAATCATCAATCGGCTTCTTTTTTTAAAAAATATTCAATATTAGTTCAACATTTTTAAATTCAATTTAATTAAGCTCCCTCCTAATATTAAAACATGCATGTGTTTTAAAATGCTTTTAATTAGTTTCTTTCTATTTGTTCTTTTTTCATTTCCCAACAAATGATGTTCTCTCCTAGGCGAAAATTTGAGCTTAGCAAAAAAAAAAAAAAACTGTCCCCTAGACTACGTGATTATGGAAAATTGAGGACTAACAAGGGAAATTAGCCCCTTCAATTTCTAGACGTTCATATTAATTTATAGAAGATCAAAGCTTTTTATCTTGAAATTTTGACTGCTAGCTAAAATAATTATCAAGAGAACTAACAATATAGAGTTTTGACCTAAAATTCTACACAATTCTGCATTAGAAATTCACTTAATTGTGCTATAATTAACCATTTCACAATATGTGATCGAAGTTCAAAATTAACCAAACATAATGCAGACACTATTATAACAAATCCGGGAAAATTGAGTGATTCGAATGATACCCCAAGATTCTTGTTATTCCGTAACTTTTCAACTCCGTAGTCCACCGCCTGAAACCAATACATCAATTTAATTACCAAATAGCAAACTAACATTAAGAATGTAAACAACAACAACAACAACAATGATAATTTGCTGGCATTTTTTATAATAATTTGCCAAATTATCATGTAATTTGCCAAATTATGTATAAATATAATAATTTCCTTAATTGATAGTTCATTTTTTTATTTTTTCCCCTAAAGAATTCCATCAACTAATCAAAAAATACGTTACTTTTGTTTTTCTAGGTGGTACTCACACACATCTGAAATTTGAACCCATAACCTTCCAAACCTCCCTTTGAAAGATACGAGACTGATACGGCTAGGCCACTAGTCCAATGATCAAAATATATATAATATAATATAAATAATACAATAACACTATATATTATAATGTGTAACCCCTCACAATCGTAATTTTATTTATATTATATTTATACATAATTTGGTAAATTACATGATAATTTCTTGACAATGAGGGGATATTTCAGTAAAAGTAAACTCTCTCAGTTAGTTGGAGGGAAGTTTTAATTAAAAAAAAAAATGAATTGAAAAGAAAGATTTATTACAATACACTACAAAATAAGGAGTTTTTTTTTTAGTAATTCGCCCTAAATATAATATATTTCAATGTGTTATAAATAGAAGCAAAATTTTATTCAAAATGTACTTAATTTAAAGAATTTTTTTTATTTTTTATTTTTTACCTTGATAAGAAATTTACACCCATTTAAAAAAGAGTTTATGAAAATTGATGTGAGGTATACAGCTCAATAGATTTATTTTGTTTCTTATTTTTTTCAAAAATCAAGTAAACTCGTCACACAAAATTATCATCACGATCAACTAATAGGCCCAAAAATTATTCCTATAAGTCACTAGACCGTTCACAACACATGTGAAGATGGGCCTGAGGCCCTAATGGTCTGGTTTAGTTACATCTCACTCATGTCACACATTGTACATATGACGTTTTAGAGAGAGAAAGTGTGTAGAAGAGAGAGATGGCATCTTCTTCCTCAATTCTGGCGGCAGCTGCCAAGAAGGTTGGATCCGCCGTCCGCCGGCCAGCGCTAAACTTAACTGACGCCGCAGCTGCTAGGATACGCGACCTGCTACAGCAGCGCCAACGTTCTTTCCTCAAGCTCGGCGTCAAGGCTCGCGGCTGCAACGGTTTATCCTACACCCTCAATTATGCAGGTCCTCTTTGATCCGTTTATAGATATACATATATGTATATGTATATGTATGTATATTGTAAACTTATGCATATCCTTTGTGTTTTGATAGAACAAGCTTGAACCTTAATTTGTATGAGAACGAAAATTATTCTAATTTATTTGAAATTAGATAAAGATTCTAATTTTAATATATGTTTCCTAATAACTTAATTTTGAATTTTGGAATTGAAGAATTCATCACAGCGTAGGTTTTAACTTGTGAAACTTTGTTGTGAACCACATTTGAAATCTGTAGAAATTTACAATAACTTGGGAAATTTGAAGAAACAATGAAATTTGAAGATTTTTCATTGAGTTTATATGATATTTGCAAGGTGAACTTGATATTTTTATTAAGAAAACACTCATAATAAGCGTATTAGTTGTTGGTGCCTGACAAGGATGCCCAAACCAATTACCATTTCCAGACCACCTTAAAATTAAACCTACAGTGGAGTTGAGCAGCACAAATGGCGATGCAATGCATTTTTCCTGTTCTTTGATGGTACTATTTTTCATGGTGTGATTTTCAAGCACACTTGCTTTAAGCGACAATTAAGAGTGTTTTTACCAATATGAGAGTGGTGAATCATACACATTGACTTCTAATTTGATTTTCACCTGGTTTTATGCTTTGGATGATTTCTTCAATTGAATGTATATACTGTCAGCAGGAGTCATGATTCTTTATATTTCTTTTGTTAATTATGCTTGACATGTGTGAATGCACAGAGTCGAATTTACGTGGTGTCTTGTAACTGAGGGAGGCTCGGCCAAGTTGCTGCATGGTTCTGGCCTGGCTTGGTTGAATTAGCGTGCTCAAGCTTGGCTCAAACTTTTAAATTTTAATGAACCGAGAAATTTATGTTCAAGCTTGAACGAGTTGCTTCTTGGAGCCTCATTAGTTGTTCTAGCTCAGCTCACTTAAGAGTCAAGCCCAAGATTTGAGAAAAATGAGTACAAGGGGCAACTATTTGCATACAACTAACTTCATAAGTTTGTGGCTAATGGCAACTCTTCCATTCTGGTGCCTGTTTGAGATTGAAATATGCTGAACTAGTACTCTCTTTTTGGTGTGTTTTCAGTTGGTATTGTAAAACCTTACTGTTTCGAGGAAAGATAATGCCTCAGCTATACTATTGTAATCTGATTTCCCACACTTTCATGCTTCTGGAATGCACCTGTGTATCCTTAATTTTCTGCCTTTTGATGTTTAATATGACCCATATTGTGCTACTTTAAATAAACTCTCCTTGTCCCTAAGATGCTACCTTTAAATTTTAAACTATTACCCATCTTCGTGGTAATTGAAATTCTCCATACTCCTTTTCATTTTGGTTAATTAGAATTTTTTTTTCTTTCATATATTATAGATCTACCTCATTTCTGATAGTTCCAGATGTACTTGGGGGTAGATTATTGTCTACGTAACTACTTAAAACTTCTGGCCCCTTTCCTTTGCCTTCTGAATCAGCTATCTTGTAAGTTTTAACAATCAGCATGCACTTCTAGACAATCAAGAAGCTTCCAGTTCCAAGTTTCCTATCATCATTAGCTAAGACTTAAATTTCTTTTATTTTTGATGCTAGCTCTAGTTGGTGGCAATTTGGTAGCAGCAATCCTTTGGATGCTTGCCACTCAAACCCCAACTCCTTCAACCTGGTTTACTTGTGTGGCACATGTTAATTTGCGTCATCCTTGCAAGCAAATTTGTCAATCCTATCAGATCTGTTTTTGACTTTTGAGTGCTCCAAAATCCCAACATTTTGTGCCACTGGTTTGTAATTTTTTTTATTGATGATTAAATTGCTGCAAGAATATGTGAATGTAAATGCATTGAAATATTGATGCTTCTCTTCTAAAGTTTTTTTCTTTTCAATAGTTCGGAAACTGGAATTCTTACATGGTTATAGCTTATATAGTTTCCTGCTGGTTTCCTGCCTTAAATATACAGATGAGAAAGGGAAGTTTGATGAGTTGATTGAGGACAAGGGTGTGAAAATATTGATCGACCCAAAGGCCCTCATGCATGTCATAGGTACCAAGATGGATTTTGTTGATGACAAACTCAGGTATGGGCAACATTTTAATGACCAGATACGTAATTATTTGCAAACGAATTTGGAGTAATGCATGCACACTTATTCATACACTTATGGACACATGTATGAGTGTATTGTGCTGTTTCTGATGTAATCTATCCACATGCTCATTTTTCTCAAAGTTTAGAATGGTTTCTTCTCCCACTTAATCAACACAGCTGATAACACCTTAATTTTGTTTGACCTTAATTCACATTCTAGCTTAATGATCTGACTCATGATGTATCAAAGGAGATCTATATCATTTGGCTTGCCATGTCAAAAGTGAAATTTCCCAGTGACCATATTATATTAATACCTGAAAGCTAATACTACTTAGAAACTGTCAACATTCATCTCAGAGTCGTAGTCCTTGTATACCTGCACTAGAGAATATGATTTTAGTATTTAGTTAACTTCGTAAACATACAAGAACTAAGTCTAGTTTCATAAATGACAAGTTATATGAGGCTTGATTGCAAGAAAATTATTTCTGGGCATTTCTTGTACTAATTAATCATTTTCAGTCTCTTGCTTTCTTGATATATATATATATAATATTCCTTTTGTGGCCTCTGGCCTTGGTTTTCTGAGCAGATCGGAGTTCATATTTATCAATCCAAACTCTAAAGGGCAGTGTGGTTGTGGAGAATCCTTTATGACAAGAAGCAGTGCAGAAGCTGCTAAGCCTGGTGGTAGTTCAGGATCATAATTTTGACAGATTTGCAGGAACTGGATACATTGCATTCTACAATCCCATATATAGCTATTTCAGACAGAGCTGACTTATTATTTGCAAGGATGTCATTCAGGGCTTACAAGTGACAGAGGATGATCCTTACCGAAACAAAGGATACCAGTCAGGGTTTACAAGTGACAGAGGATGATCCTTACCAAAAAAAGTAAGAAATAGAGGATGATAAAGTGGACACCGGCGCCTAGCAAAGTTCTTTTTTTTTTTTTCTTTTTTTTTTTTCTTTTTTTAAATATATATTTGTTTGTAGTTATTGTTCCTGTAAAATTCTGTTGTTTTTGGTTGCAGTGAATGGACATTTTTATTACATTCAAGTTGAATATTTGTAACCAGAACATCATCACACTATGTTGTAAATATGAGAGAAGACTTCTTTGTCTATTTGAATTCTATTTAGTCTAATGCGTTGTTACAGAAGTTTGAATGAAGATTATTTAGCATTTCAAAAAACTGTTCTTATAGGGTCATGCCTGGGATCAGAAATTTTTATAATATAGCATGTATTTAAAAAAGATTGAGTTTGAGCGGGAGCTGGAACTGGAACTGGAACTGGTTGAAGGTTTTCCTGGATGAGGATTCATTGATCAAATGGTATTGTTGATGGATCAACAGGCAATCCTTCAAACCCTACACCATCAGTGGCAAAGACGGCTCCAGAAAAGTTAAATGTTCTCAAAATGTCTTTTGATGCTGTGCCAAAACTTGATGGGAATTTGACTGAAAGAAAGTGATGGCATCTTAAAATTCAACATAAAACTTATTTCAAAACATGTGGACAGAACATAGTGATGGCTTAATGTGATGATCAAGTACAAACGATTACAGAGAAGTTTTTTATCCACATTAAACATGGACACCAGATACTACTGAATTCAGTTCCTTTTTTTCTTTTTTGTATGTATACACAAGACATGGAATATTGAAATCATGTTGTGTCATGGTTTTGATACTGTTTACAACGAAAAACTTTCTATAACTAATAAAAGTGGGGAAAAAGTTTATGCATAGCAGATGAAAGACCTATGTTCATCTCAAAGAGCACGCTAGTCATCACCTTCGCGTAATCATGCATTTTCATTTCATTGTTTGGTTAGAATTTTCAATCTTTTGCTGAAAGGCAATTAGCAGGTGCTTTAAAGTCATACGATGAAGTACGATGAAGAACATCCTCTCTGCATATCAACCATATAATAAAACCCTCAACAGCCACATGCTTAGGTTGGAAAAATTAACCACAAGCATCTCTATTACACAAGGAATGTACAATATGTCATTTTCTAATTCTGATTTTCAAGCATACGAGTCTACATTTAACTAGAAGCCGAGGCACATGCAACCTTGTTCAACATGCTAGATGCCAACATAAAACACAAAATGGAGTTCGGATTCAAGCACCTTTTTTTACCTGTGTCTGATGCATTAACATGATTTTCACGTTGACAAACTACACTACGTTTTCTCCAAATACTTTCCAATTTGGCTTTTAGCCCTATGCTGAAAGCTGGAATTCAACAATCCTCACGAATTTCATAGATGGCATGCGACTGTCGCTAGCATACTTTAACATTGCACTTCAATAAAGAGATTTAGCTACATGAGATGGTGAGAACATTGTGTATTTTCTTTCAGTCAAGCAGTTGGTTCAATTGACCATAAAATTATCGACGACTACATAGTGATAATGATAAGCCCAATACAGAAACTGACACCAGAATGTAGCCAACTTAGAAGAAAGAAAGGTAATGTCAACAATACAGTCCTCCTCTACGAACAGGAGTAAGACAATAATAATAGTCAATGTAACTAAAGAAGATGATCAATAACTTCTTCTTTCTGACCTATCTGATCGAGAGCGTCCAGAAGCATTGGGCAAAATTACAGGACTTGCATCTGTTTCTTCATTCCGTTTAGGAGTAGATAGCCGGTGCTTCGACCATTCATCCAAGGATTTGCGGTGGAGATCATTCATTTGAATATAAGGCCGTCTTTCTTTGATAATCTTTTCAGCATTTTTCCAATCTTCTGCCTCACCTAGAGCTACCAACAGCGCACACATGACTGCAACACTTCGTCCATGGCCTATAGGAAGAGTATTATGATTAAGACCGAAAAACTGATTGCAAGCCTCTGATTCTTGCAAGCATGGGAAAATTATATATCCTTAACGTACCAATGTTTAATATAAACAAGGTTAAATCTGGTCATGGTTCCAATTTTCAAATGATATGAATGCATAACAGTACATAATAAAACCACAAGCAAGTGAAGTTGATGAGGATCCTGAGCGCAGTCGTCTGCTTTTGCCCCCTTACCCTGACTCTTGAGACCATCACCAGTTGGCTAAGTCAGACCATGTGAAACTACAGGGGATTGGGGAGATTTCCCCCGGTTGCGTGTGGCTCAGGGCCTTAAGAGCCTCGTCATTCCAGTATTCCACTTCATAAACGAAATGCTTTTCAACTTGGTGGTTTTCTTATCAAAACAATTATAAGGGTGATTTCAGTATCTGTTCCTTTTTCTTGAAAAATTGCACTGTGGGAGGAAGGTGCCATAGGGAGCTCAAGGGCCATAAGTCCATACTCCCTCTCTACAAGACAAATCTCTTAAAAGTCTAAAAAAATGTAAAACTATCCAGAAAAGACCTAGACATTTAAAAATGAAAAATATCCACTATTACTTTTTTGGCCCTATTAATAGGTAACTCCCATTCTCAAACATATTCCTTCTTTTCTGCCTTTGCCACACACTCCGTATGAGACATGAAAGCACAGCCTTTAAACTTATTGGAGTCTTTTCCCCAACACAAACATTAGCCCGCCAAATATGGTGGTCACAGACAAACTAAAGCATAAATCACTAACACTGAACAAAGAGATCAGCAACTCATGTGCAACCATGCAATGAAGAAGGTAATTAGTATCTTAATCCCTCTTGCACATGCAATACCAATTTGGAATAATTTTAACCCCTCTTCCACAAATTATCCATAGTCAGAGTTAACTTAAAAGCCTTCTCGTGTTCTTATTGGCCTAGAGAAAAGCATGCAATTGTGTAGTTGAAGAGATAATGTGTATACCAAAGAAAAAAGATGATTTATGAAAATCTCAAAAGAAGCATGCTTAGTGACAAGAAAGCTTATACAGCAAATGGATACATAAAAAAAAAAGCATTGCATCCTCATATGTTTTGCATTATGATGCATGAACAGCCAAGATAACTAGGACCTAAGAAGCACGGACACGGATACGGGTCGACACGGACACAGCAAATCCTAAAAAATTAGGACACGGACGCGGTGAATAATAAATATATATATTTATGTATATGATGTTGTACTTTAATAAATTAAGAGTAATATTATTTTTTATCAACCTCATAGTGACAAAAAAAAAAAATGTTCTTTGCCGGGGAAAAGAGAGAATGATAGAACTGGTTAAGAAAGAGGAGAAAACAAAGAAATATAAATATGCAAGGGTTTGAACCTTGGAACTAAATATAAGCATAAATATCTGACTGTTTAATATAAAATTGTTTTATAAAACAACAACTTTTAAGTATATAATGACCATCATTTTATTGAAAACTATTAAACAGCTCCTCATATTTACACTTCAACCTAGCTTTCTTTCTAAAACTTTCTTTAAATCCCCAAGTGCCTTATAAAAATTAAAAAATAAAGTGTTTGTGCCGTGTCTGAATATTCAAAAACAAATAATAAATTCAGACACATTTTTTGGCGCGTCCGACACGAGTAGCCTGTGTAGGGGCATGTCCGACGCGTGTCCATGTCCGATACGTATTCTTTGCCCTTTTAGGCGTGTCCATGCTGACTATAGGGACAGAAGTACAACACGATGGTAGTGGTAAGCAATAATATTGTGGTCAAAGTGTTATGGCAACACCGAAGTAATTGGCCTATGTAGGCCAAGCCTTGCCTAAATGTAAATAATCCTGTTATTGCTTTATAGAACTCAACATGTCACCAAAATGCAAATAAATAAATATAAAAATGTAAGAAACAAAAGGACGTCTATATCTAGCCAAAGCCATCAAACAGCGAAAGTAAGGCAATCGTTGGGGTGGGCTATAGTGTTCAATTTTTATCTTTATTTTGATATAGAATAAAAATCTTGGACATTGTATATTCTATAACCAATTTTCTGAGCCCTCCATAGGAAAACATGAACCAAAATATATTATACAAGGAAAAGAAATCAATGGACAACCTTATTTTGAAATAGTAGGATGAAAATTGAGGTAAACAATAAATAAGTACTTTTGCAGGTTAAAATAAGAAGTAATAATACAAAAGAAGGAAGTAACAAGTAACAGATGATCCAGTACTATTTCTAACACACAAATAGGTTGTATAAGTAAAATAATCTCCATCACCAACATGTACCCTATACCACAATTTGAACGCATTTGTCATAATACCCGGTGCACATATAATGCACACTTCTGGTTCTTTTTGTCAGTTTACAATAAATAACAATGCGAACTTTTTTATCATGGAAGGTTATTATGCAATTGTTTCAAAGAGAACAGACATCAAAATAAAAAATCTAGACACTCTTTATGCTTTGTTTTATCTCCTTTATTGAAAAGCCTCAGCACATAGATCTTGAAGCCAGAAGCCATTCATTTAATCTACATTAATCATTTAATCTACATTAATGGGAGCCTAACTGTTGCAACTATTCTGGATTTTATTTATTTATTTTGAAGTTTTGACAGCAAATAAAGATGAAGGCAAAACTTTAAAATCTAGAAATAGTGAGTTAAAATATTGCAACCTAAAAGAATGTACAAGCACATTACATGTAACATATCTTATAATTTGTTGAGTAATATTGGTTGGACTTCTAAAGCCACACACCTTGCTTATTTGAAACATGAAAGAGATTTATAACTTTATGATATTATGGAGCCTTTCTCAATTCATTGATTGACGCAAATGTCATATTTCTAGAATATCTTATCTATCCTAATTGGTCAATGCCAGCCTTGGAAGATTACATGACTATCAAAAGATTAACTGATTTTATTTCATTCTACTGATTGTAAAAGAAGGAAGTCTATCTCATATTATCATTATCCCTTATAAATAAGATGCATAAAAATTGAATAGAAGATTCGACAACCATGTTTAATGAGAACTTGGTAAATCCTAAATGGATTAAATATATATATATATATATATATATATATATATATATATATATATATATATATATGAGAACTTGGTAATCCTAAATGGATTTGTAATAACTACAACATAGATCGACTAAGATCACTCAATCTAATAGATCTTTGCCCTCCATAAATCTTGTTTAAGAGATGCGCTATTATTTTTTTATTAAATAAGTTCACCTACTACGTAGTACATACCAAACACTCGTTATTACTAGGTTCTTAAGTCATGCAGCATATACTTATTTAGGCAATGCAACACCTTGACTATTTTAACTAAAAGAGATGCTCCAGAATAAGTAGCAAAATCTTAGGATGAAAGCATAAGTAAAATAAAGCATACTGAAAGCGGCACTAGAATAATCAGAGTGGAAACATGACAACTAAGAAATATGGCGCCCGAGCAATCATTCATGTTATCTTACATTAAGAAGTAATGAAGACATGCTGATACATGAAAGGAAAATGATTCTTGCACCTATTAGTTGTAGTGAATTGCTAGACCTGCTATTTTAATTGGTCAATTATGCAAAAAATAAGGAAGTAGAGCCCTCCACTTAGTTGTATTTGGTATAATAGCCAATTAAAAAATTTTCAGTTACACAATTCGCTACAAGTGTTCGGTGTGAATATCACTACTCTACATGAAATGGATAAGTTTATTAATCAAGGCATCAACAATAAATGCAATTTGAATGGTAAAAACAGAATGAATTAGAGGCAGAAACATCAGGAAACAAATTTGATTGCTAGTACAACACGGAATTCACAAAGGTGATTCTAAGGTTCAAATCATACCGTAGGCACAATGGACAAATATTGGCGTTTTCTGAGCTCTCTTTCTACAAGCCCACTTAACAGCCGATTCAATTTCACCTGGCTGAGGTGACCTCGTATCCCAAGTAGGAACACACAAATAAGCATGCCCTGAGAACTCCAAATTCCTCGGAAACTCACAAGTGCAATCAATAATGGCAGGGCTACCGGGCGGCAACTTTTCAGGCGAACAAGGCCACCCACCAACATACAAACCCTCACAAATTTCACTATAAGGAGCTTCCCCACTACTCAACCTTCTCAATGCAGAAAAAAGTTCGACAAAATACAAGTAAGGGCAGAACATAATTCTAGACCAAATTGGGAAAGTCCCATCTGTTCTCTTCCCCAAAAGCATAGGCAAATTAATAGATGGGTGAGAAGCAATTGACACCAACATTGACACCAAAGATGCATATAAAAAGGGTATTGACGAAAACAAGAAGCCAATGCTTGAAAGGTAGGCAAAAAACAAGAACAGGGCAGATGCTTTCATTGCTATCAACACAGATATACCCAAACCCATGTTATATTTTTCACCCAAATATATGAAACTGAAACAAAATATGAAATCAGAAGTACCACTTTGAAAAGGGTTGGTTCTAAAGTTTGTACCTTTTGCAGATTTATTGAACCTGTGAAAAAGAAAAGCATATGGAGTTAGACAGAGTATGCAGCCTTGTTAGAGCAAAGACATCAAAAACATCTGAAGAGGAGTGAGAATAAACAGAAACCCAGTTGAGAAGAAAAAGAGTTATACCTTTCGGAAGTGATTACAGGAATAAATCCGCCAGATGTTGTCTAGGGTGAGTCGAGTGGAGGGGAGTGGAGTAGGGTAGGAATTGGTCTATATTCTCCGAATGGACCAAACGGGCCGAATGTTACTCGATCTATGGACCTTGTAATACAGTACGGAGAATATAATAATAACAGGGACATTTTTTTTTTTTGGGAATTCAACCATATATATATATATTTTATCGGTGCAATCCAATGGAATCTGATCCAAATTTAAACAGATTTTTTTTTACGGATTTAGATGTCAATTTTTTTTTTTTTTTTTGGATTAATTTAGGTGAGCATAGATTGACATTTTGAAAACCTCAAATCCAAAATAAAATTTAATTTACTCAAACAATTTTAATCTAATTTAAAGTTGTCGGTCCAAGCAAAAATTTAAGAATTTAAGAAGATGTTGTAAACATGATTGGGTTTCATACAATAAATGTTATACAAAGCATTCATTGTAAAAGTCAATTGTGCGTACTATATATACTCTATATGCAATGAATAAGGAAAAATAATTGTTAGACAGGGTAAAATCACAAAACTTCCTTCTGTTTTTTTTTTTTTTTTTTTTTTTTTTATATATTTATATAAGGGTAAATTAACCATGTCCATCAAGGTGTTCACTCTTTATTTCTAACCATCATCCCTGTTTTCCTCAATTTGCAGATTATGATAAAAATATATAGGGATAATTTCACTCACCCCCCTCAAATTTGGCCAAATATTAGTCTCAAATATCTTTCGAAAATAACTATCACTCATATTAAAAACGTTAAAACGTTTGTGTCGTTTTTCACTCCCCAAAAGTTAGTTAACAGGTGGAATTAATTGGTTGACAAAAATTCCAAATTTATTACTCCTTTTATATTTAAAGGAGTGCTAACTGCTAATTAATTGGTTGATTTAGGAATTAATTGGTTGAATTTATGTGTTTATTTATTTTTGTTATTATTATTTTTTTTTTGTTTCTAGTCCCCTCCCTCCCCGCCTCTCTTTCTCTCCCTTCTTTTTCTCTCTCTAATCTCTTAGGCCAAACAAGTATCCGGCGCTGACACCATCAACGAAGACACCAACTCTCATGCCGCCACCTCCTACAACCCATCTGGTGTGTTCGATTACATCCGGTATGCCTAACCAATGTCGAAAACTCTCAAATAAACAGGTGGAGAGAGACAGAGAGATTAAGAAAGCATAGGCATCGATGGTGGAAGTGAACCTATATTTGCAGCCCCAAATTGTAGAGGAACCGACGACGGTGCCAAAATAGTGGAAGAGAACCACTATTTGCAAACCCAAATTCCAGAGGCATCGACGATGAACCCATATTTGCAAACCTACTTGATCAACAGTACGCAGTTGGGTAGAAGGCATATGGATTTGCTCGGTGATATATGTGGATGACTTTGGAACTTGGGCTTAATGGTACGAAATTTGGACTCTAAAAGGTTTTGTGTATTTATAGAGAAGAGAGAGAGAGACAGACGAAGCTTCCTTCAGATAGAGAGGATAGAGAAATAGTGTGTATTGGCAATTAAATAATATAATTCGGGGTATAATAGTCATTTAGCTTGTCTGATATTTTGGAATAAATGTTATTAAAAAACTAGGGGCAAAGTTGTCTTTTCCCATGTTTTTAACGGAGACTGTGACGAAAAAGGGAAAATGGACCTAAGTGATAGTTATTTTCAAAAGATGTTTGTTGTGAGATTTATATGTACCACTCGCAAGTGCACGAATCTTTGTAGATAGGGCTTACTTGTAAGGGTGTCGTATCCAAGGAACTTGTGAAAATTCAGTTTGTCAACAGATTTCTTAAATTCCAAATTAATTTGAAAGTAGGATAATCGAATTGTAATGATTAATTCTAAATTAACTAAGTTGAAAAATAAAATAAACTAAAGAACAATAATTAAATAGGATGTAGAAAACAAAGAGAGAGAAAACTAGGGGTATGACTTCACCATTAACGTCGCACCACCAGTTAATTGCATCAATTTATTGGAGATATATGATATAACATGCACAGGGAATAAATCATGGCTACAACCACATATTAATTCAACTAGAAAATAATATAATTTAAAGCTAAGTATGGACTATCTTTGATTGGTATAAACCATCTACCTATCTACTTTACTCTAAGGTGTAGCATGGTCTATCTTTTCTAGGCATAATCCATCAAATTTTTAACATTATATTCAGAGAAATACTATTGTGTAATCATATCATTCACAATTACAAGAAGTGAATGAGTTGTGTTCAATTACAAAATTAAAATATCTAAGATAAGATAAAAAAATATTTGTAATTGAATTAAAACGCTAAAGCCGATTCTTATTAAAAAGTCAATTAAAAATCCTATAGATTACATAATCATGCATGATAAAAATCGTTCTCCAATAATTAAATACAATCAAACTAGTGTGTTAAGCTAGGGCTACATCACAAACCTAGCAAAGCGTTTAGCTAAGCATGACTGGAATAGAATTCTTCATGGTTGAGGAAGACATATTCACCGCCATGGATCGATCTTTTTTTTCTTTTGAATGCTTCTCCTCTGATCTCAACCTCAAGCACCTCTATGTGATGATTCAATGCTGTAGAGGACTCCCTTTAAATAATAAAAGATCAGCCCTAAAGTTCCCTTTTTCATATAGAAGACATATATAGAAATTATGTCAAATAAAGACTCCAAAATTCGTACAGACTTCCAGCCTAATTTTGACAATGTAAACAGCTGTTTTATGGAATCCTCGTGAAATACAAAATTTTAGCTCTTCGAATTTCCTTTCAACTTACGTGAGAATTTAGCTGTTTTGACACTCGAGGAGAGAGATACAGCCAGATTACCAAAATGGGTTCAAGTTACCAACTTTGGCGAAAGTTTCCTTTTTGGAGAAGGATTTTTCATTTTCTTCTTCTTTTCATACTCATCAACTTGTGGCTTCTTTTGGACTATTTTCTAAGTATAATTAGACTTGAATCTTCAACATTGCTCGATCCCACGAAATGTCATCTTTTAAAGCTCAGAATCACTGGTCTTGACTGATTTTACAATTAAAACCCTGAAATAAATAAAAATAATAAAGCAATGTAAAATCACAAATAAATTATTATTAAGAGAATAAAACATGCAAGTAAATGAGCTAAAATGTATAACATTCAGCACTTAACACACCCCCAAACTTACATATTGCTAGTCCCATAGCAATAAAACTAAAAAAAAACATAAATGCCGCTTTCATGGGAATCACGATTTCAACTTATTCTCATATTATCACAATATTAATCATGGGGAAGACTACACAGAAGTACTTTAAAAATTATCATCTGACTATACTCCTTAGTCCCTATTTTCATACTTCACCCCAATGTTTCCCGTACACCTGTGTAACAAAAATTACAGCAAAAATCAATCCCCAATGTTGTGAAATTTGTGAACTACCAAGTTACCTATGTAGTAATGTCTTTTCAATTGAACCCAACTTCTATAACTTCAATACCTCATATCCCTTCTCAAGTTATTTTCTATGACAAAATATTATTTATTTCTTTTCTTTTTTTTTTTTTTCTTTTTTTTTTTTTTTCATATCCTTACCCCCAATTCTTCATGCGAACACTCAATGCCTATGAGACATGATCCCCGATTACTCCATGAAAGGGTTCCAAAATTATTTATTTATTTATTTAATATCTATGCCATAGTAATAACCTTCAAAGTTCACCAATTCATATCTATCCATAGTCATCAGAATTCAACCAAAAATACAAATACACATAGATAAAATTCTAGTGTGCATGTGAAATCCATCAGGGACCGACAATTACTAAAATTCCTATCATAATAGATAATGGAACCCACATAAAATAAAGCACGAAAATTAGGGATTTAAGACGATCTCAGAAAAGAATTTTAAAAAGTACTTAAGCATTTTAATAATCCCTCCAACAATTCTCAAATACTTGAATTAAAGTCAATATGCCAAAGAAAAAGAATTGATTTTTTTTTTTTTTTTAACAACTAGAGTAGACTCTTCTTCTTCTTCTTCTTCTTCTTCTTTTAATTGAATTAATAATATCTAGAGTAGACTCTATGCCCCCAAACTTGAATTGGACAGTGGTCTCACTGGCAAAAATCAAAATTAAGAAAAATAAGAACTTAAATAATAATAATAATAATAAAAACACAGAACAAAAGCACTTGGCAAGATAGCTAAAATGGAGGCGGCGGAGCATCGGGATTAAGCCCGTTACGAATCATAAGTGCGCGCATCATGTCCATCATTAATCTTTGATCCTGACGAATCATCCTCTGTTCCTCAAGAATCATCCTCTGCCCCTCAAGAGTTATCCCATACCCTTGATTGATTTCTTGAATCTCATATCGGAGTTGGGTCACCTCACCCACCAAATAGTCATAAGGATGATCATCAAAGGCATCAGCGGCAGCCTTTTCCATGGGGTAGGACTTATTCTAATGGTATAGGAAATGAGGTGTAGAGAAATTTAGGAAAATGGATTTTTGGTTTATGGATTTATTGATTTGGTATATGGAATTTAAGAATGGAATAATGGGATGTAATGATGAAATCGATAATGGGTGATGAAATATAGAAATATATGATATTGTAAGAATGCAAGGATTGGAGGTAATAGGATAGTACTGAGAAAGGAAAAACAAAAAAATAAAATAAAATGTAAAGGTTTGGGAATAGGAGACAGAAATTGGAAAACAATATGCCACAAAAGCCTCCTTATAATAGTAACTTCGTTTCTTTCCTCTTCTTTTTCATTTTTCATTTTTTATTTTTCATTTTTCATTTTTCATTTTTTTTTTCTGCCGTGCCTGTTCGTCGCCATCGAGCGACTTTTTTTTCTTTTTTTTCTAGTCGGGCGATGGTCACCGGAAAGTCGGGCGATGATCGCCCGGTGCTATTATGGGGATCGCAGGGAATTCTCCCTTCGGGCAATGGTCGCTCGGATCTGTGATTGTGCCGGAAATTTGTGTGGCCGGGCGATGGTCGCCACTTTGCCGAGCGATCATTTGCCCAGCGCTGTTGTTTCTGTCGTAACTTCTCCTTCCGGGCGATGGTCACCCCAAGGTCGGGCG